ATGGTGTCTTTCAGTCCCATGGAGTCTTTGTTTCAGTCTCATGGAGTCTTTGGTCTTTCTTGCTTAACACCTCAGTCTTTCAGAGACCGCACGTCGCTTGCGCGACTGCTCTCTCGAGTTACCGACGAGTTGCCGAGACGACGAGTTGCCGACCCTCCGGGCCAGGCTGTTAGTTGAGGGTTGGACCCTGTCTCAGGTCGAACCATTGGTGACCTGTTTGTCGTCGGGTCCTGGTACATGGATAGTACTCAGGCTGAACTCTCACTATGAACACATTTATCATACACGCATATGATTGCAATTGCTTGCATCTGTGCTAAACAATCAATTGCCCTGGCTGAAGCCCGGCAAAACATCGAGCAAAGCCCCCAAAGCGCCTTCTGTGAGAGCCAGCCATCCGATCCTTTACGCCAACTCTTCTGCCTGCAGTCGCAGCAGCAGTTCGCGCGATGGACACGAAGGATACGAACATCAGAGCCGCAGCATAGCACCAAACTCCACCAAGGACTGTAGTACCCTCAGGCTCCTGTCCCACATCCTCAGGCTCAGCGCTTGGGGTGGGGTCTAATTGCCTCGTCGTGGTTGGAGCCCTGGGGGGTAGAAGGACATGTCAGGCAGGCAGGGTACTGCCACATTCAGAATCCTTGGGGCCACCTCTTCGGGGTCCGTAACGTCTGAACCCAAAAACCCTTAAGCTTCAGGGCCGGATTCGGAGATGTTCTCCACCTCACCCTACCAACACCACCCAGTTCCGGTGTTTCTCTAGAGGGGTTGGGAAGCTCCCGCTTCAAATTCCGGTTCCCTGTGAAAATGGAGGGAGATGGAGACCCCCTGTAGCTCCCTAGCTGGATCATCTCCCCGGATAGTAAAGGATCTTGCCATCCGAATCTCCCAGAAATCTCCAAGAGAGACTGAGAACCACTCAGCTGTTGGATCCAAACAGTTGGCCAACCTCCACTTAGAACTTCACTGGATGGTCCAGGAACTTCACTGGATGGTCCAGGAACTTCTATGGATGGTCCAGGTAGTGCTTGCTGATGTAAACCTCTTCTGAGCGCGAACGCCATGAACGCCAACGGATCGCATGTTCTTCGCGCAGTTTGAAACAGCAAGTTTATGTTGATGCCATTTGATGGTTCAGGGTACATAAGGTACAGTTGAACAAAAATGCTTTAAACATGATGATACATGATGACATGTACTCTAATTCGATTGACCCCCGCCATGACATTTCAATCACTAGTGTTCATGCCATGGTCAGGAAAATGTTACCATTGGTCGTGAGGAACAACCCTCACCTGAAAGTCAATGACCTCCAAGCACCTCCAATGTTCAGTTGTCTGTCTGCCGGTTCAGGTATATTTGTTCAATTGATAAAACCTAACACATCTTCGCGTGCAACGGCCGTCGCCGGCTCCAACTGCGAACGGACACGAAGAATACGCCCACAGCGGGCGGGTGAAGAAGATGCCCGTCTCATCCGTTCGTAGAACGGGCAACATGAAACACAGAAACACACACAACAGGTTCCCCATGTATGACCCCAACACAAGCATGACACCAACACAACCATGACTTCGCCATTCCCAATCACAACATGACCAACACCCATCCCAAAATATACGTCAAGCATGTCCTTCAGCGACTTCCCTCTTGTTCTAGAAAGGCTGAATATTTCCCAGACACATTGACCCCCCAAACCACCCCAATGTAGGCATATATGGCACACATGGAGTGTCTGGGTTTTTCGGATCCAAAACCCTGCACTCTCTCTGGACACCTGCAAAAACATCGCCTGGCTAAGGCCTTTGGCAAGCTGGCGGAGCCCAACATCTCATCTGCCTGGCAGTGCTGTCAACGCACGCAGCGTGAGTCACGCACGCAGGCAAGTGCGCTGCAGTGAGATGCACAAGCTCCTTCAGAGCTTGAGAAACGAGGCTTTTGGGGGGGCAAAACCAGGTTACCTTGATTGACTTATCCCGTATACCGCATACCTCTTTCAGGTCAAGCCACATGGTCAACCAAAGCTCCAGCTTTTGACCCATCTCCCAAATAGTCCTGGACTCTTCACAAAATCTGGACTCTTCAAACTGCATCTCGTTGTTGGGTCCTACATCTGTCGTTGTTGGGTCCTTTCCCGGATGAAGCAAAGATGAAGCAAAGTGTGCCCCACCAAGTGTGGCGTAGTCGCTCTGCTCAGGTATTGTCCCAAAGCATTCATTGTATGCATGGGAGATTTTTCGTGTGATAGATGGAGATGGAGTGCTGTCAAAAAATATGACATACACATCTACACATCTACACTCCCTGAAACAATCCTGGAAGTGGAAAACCACCGGTTTGTAGTGGCTTTCATGGTCTTCCAAGAGGCCATGTTCCACTTCCATGTTTGTTGCAGGGAGGGTAAAGGATAGCAAAAAGGAGTTGGTCACATCCACTGCGCCGTCCAGGACACCAAGCCTGGCCACCACCCATTCATTCTGGAGCCACTCCTCTTAACTCTCTATCGCGAAGTGTATCCGAACACACGGGAATAGCTTGGGCAGCTTGTGTTGCCAAAGGTGGTACCTGCAAAAGCGGGAGCGGCCTTGATAATAACATGGTGGATTCACCAGCCCACCCAGAAGGGAAACAACCGCTACACGTCGCTTCCACAGCCACCCAGCCCCTGGGGATCCGGTGTGGCTAATGCAAGGGGGCTCCCAGCCCACAGCCGCTCTTACAAGCACAGTCCGGGCAAAAGTCATGAACTTTCAGAGTTCGATTGAAACATGTCATCGAAGTGTTGCGTGCAAACATGTGCATGGCCAAGTTGAAATGGATTCACAAATAACATGTCCAAACCTGAACCATGTACACCTAAACTTAGACATCAGCAACCAAAGGATCTCATGATATCAAAATAGCATCAAGCAGCTTTCTATGTCCAGGGGCATATTGGTGTGACTGCCTACCCCACAAAAAAAAAAAAAAAACTGAACTGTATCATCCCTAGGGCTCCTGCACCATCTCGTCAGGTTCGGTGGGGCACGCACCCCAGCTACCACCCACCCCAACCACCTTCACCTTGAGGAGGTGGGCCAGGAGCCCAAACGGGCATCCCACAGCTTCGTCCACCAAACGCTCTTCTTCGCCGATACTCCATGCAGCGGCCGTCCAAGCGCGCAAACTCGCGCTGGGCATGCGAGCGTCGCCCGGCCAAAGGGCGTGAACCAAATGGGTTGAACGTCTCAAAAAACGGTTTCGTTGGATTTGCTCGTTCAGAACTGGAAAGAAACAATAGAAAACATAGAACACATAGATAGATAGATAGATAGATAGATCGCTCCCCAACTAAATAGAAAAGTAGATCCCCACTAAAGGTGTATTGGAAACCGGATCTGTTTGGGAACCGCTATATTCTCCAGGTTTGGGGATTGACCCATAATAGACATAAGCAGAACCTAGCATAACCAAAAGGTCTCCCTATTTAGATCTGTCATTGGCCTATCTCCCAAATATAACTGTATGAGACCCCTCCCTAAAAGCATCTTGTCTGGACATATCCATGTTGCAAAAAAAAATCCAGCTTAAAGCTTGTTCGTTCACAACATGGCCATCTCCTCTGAGGTCAACTGGTCTGTAGGTCTATAAATTGGGCTGTAGGTGAGTTTGATCTTGACATATGGCCTGAAAGCGCCCAGTTCCACAGAAACGGAAGACGGACTCAAACGAGACCTCTGGTCGACCCCTGGTCTCGAAGGTCTCAGCGGCACGCCGAGGGGTCGGGAAGCGCAAACTTCCAACTTCCAACCCACGTAATGGGGAGGAGGAATTCTGCGATGCGAAGTGAGACAGCGGAGCGCACAGAAATGCGGTGCAGATGTTCTAGAAGTACCATGATGGCCCTTCAACCTGAAGATGGATGAAGGCAAACGAACCCCCCAAATCCATTCCGTTGAATATTTGCCTATACATGGGTGAGGTTTCCCGAAATATTTGTTTCACCGGTCAAGAACTGTGTGGCACTCTGCATGGCATATCTGCTGCCTCAGAGATAGGCAGCCAATCTCCCCAGGTTCTGACCAGCTTCGCAGTGGAAACATATCTTTTTAGTTGGTCAAATTCCACAGATGATTTTGGAAGAAAAACAACAAACCCACACCGCCAGCTTTCGCGTCTTCGTTCCGAGATTGGCAGAAGAAAGGGCCGAAGCAAAACCAGCGCTTCAAAGATGCAGCGCTTCATAAGAAGTCATGGGCATTTCTGTTCCAAAGCAGGTGTGGGCATATAATCGTATGAAAGAACATACTACATAATACCATATAACTCTGCATGTACATAACAGGCTAGAGTTGGAAGACATATTTACAAATACTGTGCCTCTTTGGAACCATGGTTGCTTGTAACACTCTTACCCTCCCTGAAATCATCATGGTGACCTGGCGGTCCTAGCCACTGGAAGACCATGCTTTCCGAATACCAAACAGTGGGTTTGGTGCAGGGAGAGTAACAAGTTGCATGTGGACATGCTTTCAGACACTGCTTTGGGAAAATGTTGGATTGGATGAGCACCCAACTTCAACCCCCAAAACAAAGAGCTAAGCACTCATCTCATCAATCTGGCAGATGTGCCCCGAAGCCAAGGCCTTCATGCCAATCCACCGAACCTCAAAACGCGCCCCAAAACACACCTGTCTGGCGTCTTTGGCCATCCCGGTTTCCGGTTTCGGCCGATTCAAAAGACGTTGGATTTCACCTGCCGCGTGGGACGTGGCGTGGAACCGGGGATTTGCCCGTTTCCGCGTTCCAGGGGCTTCTGACGGTCGCATCGGTGGATCCCAGAGCAGCCGCTGCTTTTTTGTTCAACAACCGAAGGGCGTCTATAAGGGTTTCTCTGGGTTTAACGCTTGGTGTGTGTTCCCTAGACCTCCAACCATGTCCTCAGAAGGTGTTTAGACCCCCCTGGCACCCACCCCAACCATCTTCTCAGGAGGTAGGCCAGGAGCCCTAGGGGTTTTTCAGATCAAAAAACATGACCGGGCGGGACGTCCGGCGTCGCGACGTTCCTTTTTCTCCAAGGCAAAGGCCGCGAAGCCCGTTGTACTGTCACAAGGTGTCACCTGAAGCGACGATGCGGTGAAGATGGGCGCCAGGTGGGCGACGACGCGTAAACCCTAGACTAGACCATCTGAGATGCAGTAAGGATTTGTGACGTGAATGCCAAGCATTCTTTTGGAGAAAGAACTGCTTGGACATGAAATCAAACATATTATACTGATCTTGGTGGCGGTTTTTGCCTGTAGACTCTGGATGCTTTCTTCCCTCACCAGTTCACACGCGATCAATCACCCAATTCTCTCAGGGGTGGACCCCCATGCTGTTCCATAGACGCTAGCCTTCCAAAATATGTGGCTGACCTGGTCCCGTAGTGAAAATCCTTAATAATCTTAATAAACAAATGCTGCTCGGCAAAAGACCACTTGAAACATCTTTAAACAATCCATACATGTTGTTGGCATTTAACTATCTTCCTCCCAGGGTAAAGCTGGGTGCTTTCTGGGTGCTCTACCAAGAAGCCTTGAGGTACTGAGAAGCCTCTCATCGATACACAGTACACCCTTTCTTATCATACCCATGCGGTCAGGTTATGTTCATCGTCCCAAAGTACTGACTTTGTCGAGTTCCTTGGCTCTGATCTGCAAGTGTTACCATCAGGAGACCCCCTCACCCCCCCAATGCCACAAACGTTTAAAAAAACTAAACGCACTTATTGTCCCTAGGGCTCCTAGCCCACCACCTGAGAAGGTGGGCCAGGGGTGGGTGCCAGCGGGTTCTAACTACCGAACCTGAGGATGTGGGCCAGGAGCACCCACGTTTCAGCTCCAGCTGCCACATCCCCACCTCGGTGTTCACCAAATACCGCAGCTGTCGACACTGCGACGCGCCCAGCGCTTGACACGTCAGCAGGAGCACGGCGGCGGCGCCCGCGCCGCACATGGTACAGGACCTCGCCTGGGCAAGGCCTGAGACGCATCTCCGACATGTTCGACACCATGGCAGTCCAAACACCGGAAGTTGTCATGTGATTGGTTTAACCCAATCAGGCCAGGGGGTCGTATGTTTCATGTTTTTTGAAGGGGTGCTCATTCAATTGAGAACCTGTTGAAGCCTAGTTGAAGCCTAAGCCTCTGGTGGAAACCTTTTGGAGGCTCCATGTTCTCCTTCCGTTGTGTGCGCCACGAGTTCCGCCGGGGACGAGATCGCTGGGCACCACGGGTCGGGAAGACCCACGTCTGGTCAGGTCCCTGAACCGACCCCAGGTGCTTCAAGTGCCGAAGTCAAGTACTTGGGTGCCTCGACCAACAGAGGTTGAAGAACCCTATAGACTATCCTATAGGTACCCCTGTAGGGTCCTATAAGGTCACTTAACCTCTGTTGGTCAGGTGAGTGCGACCCAGGTCGTCTCCACACCGCGCTTGAACCCGAGCAGTTGGTGGGCGTGTCACAAGGCGACCGGCCTGAGGACCGTCCCGCGAAGGGGTTTCTTTTCCACAGGTCATGGTTGACCATTCCCCATACACTTCATGTATGCCATATATGCCACCTACATTGACCCCTCAAACCACCCCAACTGATCGGCAGTCCGTCCTGGCAGTCCCATTAGTCGTGTCTGGGTTCTACCTTTTGTTGACCACATGCAGGGCCAGGATTGGTTCAAAGTGACTATTTTTTTTTGATTTGTCTTCGGATCGTGTCTTCGGATCTTCGGTCACTGACCCTGCTGGGCCTGCCAAACGAGGGCGTGCTCAGACCCCCTACTCAGTGGGTCCCACGTTCGGTCACGTTTGAAAGGTCCTGGGGGGTGCATGAGTGGAAGGCGACGACAGTCTCGCACGGTCCCGGGTGGACCGGGACACATTTTGGAAAGCACGGAAGAACCGAGAAACGGACAGCTTTGAAGCTGTCAGCATCCAAAGACACTCCATGTCATGGAAGTTGTATGGAATATTTGCCTACATGGACCCCTTAAACCACCCCACATTCAATGTACTTAAATATGCCATACATGAAGCGTTTGGGATATGTAACCTTTCTAGGGCCCATAGCATACTTATAAAGTCTTGCAACTTCTTTAGTTGACGGAGAACACTTCCGAGGTTTCCACGAGCCTCAAACTCATGAAAACACCTCTGAATGCCACGAACGCCAGGATGCTCAAGAGCTTCCTTAGACGACTGGTTGTTTGCGGAGAAACGGATGTCTTACTCCAAACATCAACGTCGTTGGTCCACTGCAACTTGACCCAAACAGACTCTAGCCGCAAAACCCCGCGAGCAAAGAATACGGCGACATCAAACACAACAAATCAGGTGTGGCCGTTATTGATGGCAAACTCTGAACATAGTTCCAGTGAATTTAAGGTCATGTCCATATATTGTGCCCTATACAATGCGCTTTGTGCAAACAAATGCATCAGGAAGAAATACATACAAAATATGATGAGTGCCAATGTAAGTCGTGCATTGTCTGCCTGAATTTAAGAATTTGGACTGACTGGAAACCTTACGTTTTTACCATTGTTCAGATTTCAGTATTGAATTGAACATTGCAAAAAAGGACCACTGATAACTTGAGCAACGGATGCGGCCAACTATGTGATTTATATTGGTTTATAACTTGCCCCACACAAACTAGAAAAAACTAGCAACACCCACCTGCCATTTCCAAGTTGGTGGTCCTTTGAATCAGCGACCCTGTTTCATGATGATCCCTAATGCCAACATGACTGAAAGTGCAAACGTTCCGTTCTAAAGCTCCAATTGTTTCCGTTTTGGTGGAACCTATTTGGTCCTGGAATCTTTATTCCACATCGCCGGGATTCTCCACATCCATGGCCCTCACTGCCTCCAGCAGTGGTTTATCTTTCTCCTTTGTGAGACGTGTGATCTCCGGCACAAACATGCAGCGGCCGCCGTAGCTGGGGCCCTCGTGGGAGAAATCCTCGAAGTGGCCGCCGTGGCTGAAGAACGTGCTCGAAACACATGGCGTGTGCATCAGATGAGGGAGACCTCCCCAATAACCGCCAAAGCCCCCTGGAAGATCCTGGAAGAAGGAATGTGAATCCAAGTGCCTCCAGGCCCGATCTCCACACATATATCACCTGAACCACCGTAGTTGGTGGGTAAGGTCCAATTGAGAGGGGTTGTGCAAATTGGTTCCCGCATCCCAACAAGCAAGCGCAGGCAGCTTGTTAAGCATGTCGTGCTAAGTAAATGCTAAGTCAGTGCTAAGTTGATGAAGCATGACCAGGTTTAAGGCTTCACGGCTGGCCGTTGCTTTGTAATGCGATCGCGCGTGAAAGCTCCAGCTTGGCTGCAAAGGCTTCATGATGTCGCTTGTGGCTCGGCGCGCTGCGCGCAAGAACCCTTCAACACCCCACAGTGTTCAAGCCAGCCATAGCAGCGGCCTGGCCCCTGAACAGCCAAATGTGTTTGAGGGTTCAGATCCTTAGGGTGATTCATGGTGTTTCTGACGGGCATTTTCATTTTGCGAACGACTGAGCATGTTTCACCCCGCTCCTTGCCTTCGCAAGCTTGGGAACTTTCCCACTTGGGGCAGCTGAACTGTCCAACATCCGGCGTCGTCGGTATCACCGTATCACGCAACCGAGCCGTTCACTGATGATCTTCATTGTCTTCTCCGGGGTTAGTATTTTTCAGTGCAACTCGCTGCCGTCCATAGCTTTACCATGTTTTACAGCGCTTCCCCAAGTGACCTAGGGAAGGCTTGCAAGAACTCTGCTGCGGTGTGTGGTTAGCGGCTAGCGTTTTCCAACAGCATTTCCATGCGTTTCCATATTGGTCAAGTGATGTCAAGTGCACAAGTGGAGGAAAAACGTGCTTCCTAGGTATATTATCGTATAATATGGGTATATAATATACTGCCCACAACTTCCAACCGGCGTGTTGTGGTCACCGGGTCCTCCCTTGCTTCATGACGAAAAAGGCACAGCATGATCAGCTCCCGTGGGGTCTAAAGCAATCCATGTGGCAGTAGCGGAACTTTCCAAAGTCAACAAGACATTGAGCCACTTGAACAGCGCCTTAAAATGTATAAGCAATCGATATAAAATTAAGATGAATTCTTTCCATGCACATAGTATAGATAGTAACTGAAGAAAAATGCAATGAGGGGATCCACTGCTCTATCTACAGTATATATGTGTGTTGCATTTCCCTCCAGCCTGCCCAAAAACAAGTCACCTGCCCAGTTTCTCGGTCCGGAGCCGGCCGCAAACTTGACCCCTTCAGTGCAGTTTCGACCATGCTTAAATATTATTAAATCATAGATCTTCCAACCGTGCAACATGTCCTTCAGTCCTTCCTTTTCATCCATGATCCTTGTGCCATCCTGATCAGCTTACCCCCCCCCGCAGTCGCTCGAACATCACAGCTCTCGGCTCAGCTGCGGTCGTACCAATCACCACCACCTGGTGTCCATGCTCCACGCTACGCACCAGTGCCGCAAGCTGGTTGGCCAGCTGCTGTGCCTCCGACAGCGCAACAGCACCCACACCCACGGGGAGGATGCGGAGGCGAGTCTCGCCGCTGAGCTGCAAATGCTGGAGGAAGGGGAGCTGGTTCCTGGCAGAGCGGCTGTCGGCCATGGGGCACTTGGAGAGAGAGAAGAAGAGAAAGAGACATGGCGAGCGATGCTGGAGGGATGGAAGGGAGCGGGAGAGATACCAGGACCATCCAAGGGGGTGTCCAGTAGACTACCCTACACAACCTAGGGACCTCCAGACAGGACACCCTTTCGATGGTCTAGGTACGTTTTGCTTTCGTTAACGCATGCAATTCCGCCGCAACGAGGCCCACGACGCACACAGGGACCCGTTTTCACAAACGCGTCTGGAATACCTCAAGCGCAGGGGAGGGAGTGATGATCAGGAATACCTTCCAGCCTAGTTCGATCCCTAGTTCGACTATCCCAGTTGGGTACCCCGGGTGACGGGTCCAAACCAAACGGTCACACGACACCTCGAAAAACGTGACCAAGCACCAAGCGTCTCGATCGAATGCTCGGTGGCATGCACCTGCCGCTGCACCGGGACACCCGGAACTGCGCAAAGCAGCTGCTTCAGCGCGCGGTGGTCGACCTCCAGCACGCCCAAGGGGGTGGCCCAATCCTGATCCTTGGAAAAGCACCACATGGGCTGCAGTCCAGAGGTTGAAGAACCCGACTGATCGACTATCCCAGTTGGGTACCCCATTGGTACCCCGAGGTTTTCCGGGTCCTATTTACGGTCACATTCACCTCTCTTGCGTTGACAGGCTGCGGTGTGCTGGGATCTGAGTGGTTGAAAATATATGGAGCCACTTTGGAGATGCAAAGATGTTTACATGGGAGTTGTCCTAAATTCATGTGGGAACTCGCATACTAAAATCAACCCTTTTCTTCCGGACGACGACCGTATATGTTCATGGAAGCGACATCTTATCACCAAAAGTCAGTTAAATGACATGTTGCTTTCCTTCAAATCCAGGCGAGATGTTCTCTTCTGTGGCCACGTTGGGCCATGGATGAGGCCACTGAAGCTAGTCTTCCCCTGATCGAGTACTCGTTGGTGGCCTCAACTCACTTATGAACAAATATGAGTCAGAGGGTTCAGTCATCCCAAGCTTAGCTTGAACAGTAACATACATCGGGTAAATCATACCATTACCAGTAGCAGTGGATGATAGTAGCTGCCAGCCTCTTTCTCTAAAAAATATATAACGGCGTATTATATTATAAATTTGTTTAACCAGGTAATGGCACAAACCCACAAAACACATCACATATCCGAAACCACCTAGAAGAAGCACTTGACTCCCTTGACTTCTCAGCCGTCTTGGGTGGCCGGTCTACGGGTGGCTGGTGGCCGGGGTGTGGCGTCCTTCCTGGCGACTTCAACCATCCAAAGACCCCCTCTCTGCAGGTACCCGACGCGTACGCGAAGAGACGGAGGTGCGTCGTCCCGAAGCGGAGGTCGTCCAAGGCTCGCAAAGGGCCACGCGATTCCAGGCCGCATGGTTGTTCCCAATCAAGACGGCCAAGTCCAACGGACCTGTGAGCGAGTCCTGGTGCAGGAGGGAAACCGATGGTGGAGGGATTCGGTGGAGCGAGTGAACCAACGGTGGCACCTTGCGGCGAATTCGCAAAATCCAAAAGGCAAGGATCATTGTACTGGCTCAGGCCATACTTTTAAAAAAACACCTATTGCGTTGTGTTGCCTCTTCGAATCTGCTGTCTTTTTTGTCGAGGTGCCGCAAGCAGCTGATATCCGTGGGCCGCTACGAAGCCCGAGTTGCAGAAGGCGCCATGTGGCAGCAGTAAACCCACCAGAGCTCCCGCGCCAGTTCCCGCGCGCGTCGCGAGACTCGCGGGACCGAATCGGGCATCGGAGAAGCAGGTCTCGAGCTCCTGGAGGGAGGATGAGAAGTTCCACAGGCTGGTGGCTGGTACTGGTATAGGGTGAGCTCGAGGTTTTGTTTTTTTCTTTGCTGACCAAGTAAGTGTGTTGCTGGCTTCAACTCACTTACAAACGAATTCTGGGTCAGTGGGATCCCATCATCATCTCAAGACATCGCAAGTAAAGGTTGAAAGCACCACCCAGATCCACCCAGGAATTCTATGGTGCATGGGAGTGTTAGGGGCATTCAAAGGATTCCAAGACCATTGCAAAATGGTTGCTTGGATTCTCAAAATAGGTTGTTCGGTATAGCTCATAGTCATAAATCAATGGTGGCTGGAATCCTAGGCATGTCAGTTGATCATAGACTTGGCTGACCCATAATATGACTCAAGATGACTCAAGGACTCAAGGAACCCAAATGGACCCCCTGCTGTCTGAGTCCTGAATGAAAAACTTATCAACCTGGAAACCCCAGGTTGTTCCGCTCTTGGCCATTGAGAATCCTTGATATATCGAACTGGAAGTGCCCGACCACTGGGGACGTTTCATCCAGACTGGTTCCGACACCGGCGCCGCCGGGGCTTTCCACGCACCAAGCGCGTCGCGCTCGCCTCCCGGTCCGCTTGCGGCGCACGTCGCACGTCTCCGACCTCACCGACGGTCCTGCTGCAGCCGCAGCGGATCCGCCGAGAAGTAGCGACACAAAGGGCTGCGTGGCTCCGTGGCGCGCAAACGCTCCAGCTCCACAGGCTCTAAGTCCACCTGGCACTGTGTACACACCTTCGAGGTAAACAAACACCCTCACAGATGACACACCTTTTTCCGTCATCTACGAGGACCTTGGCCTATTTGTGTGTGTTCTCTTCCTTGTAACCTGACGCCGGCTCCCACCTGAAGATGGCCCTCAGGCGCTGGCAAGCCCGCAGTCCCCAAGCGGAGCCGCTCGTGGGGGCGAATGTAGAGCTTTTCCTCGGAGAAAACCGACCCCAGTGAATCCACGAGCAGTAAGAAAACCAGGCCTTGCTACAGTCGTTCAGTTTGTTGGTCTTTTGGCACTGGTCTCCCTGCTTGACCGTATACGGGCAATTGTCTTTGGACCGAGGACCCCCCCCGTGAGGACCGGTGCTGGGTGCTGAAAATCGAAGAACTGACCCGAAGCGGGTGATGTCATGTCAGCTGCCATCGAACCATGGGGGTTCTTCGTGGAGAGAACGGCAGAACCAGCCACTATGGAGTTGGATGCAGGTAGCCCGTTCTTAAGTCCTCAAGCCCATGTACACTCCCTGAAACAATCATGGAAAGTTGAAGCTAGGCCCCTGGAAGACCCTTTTCCCCTACAAGGGGGCCCCGGTCAGCTTCCATATGCTTTCATGATTGTTGGAGGGCCAGGGAGGGTGGGAATTCCTTGTTCTGATTGCATCCATGGAGTGAATCAAATGGTGTCAAGATGTGTCAAGCTTTTACCCACCAAGGAGTGTCTATGAATGTGGGCTGTGGTACCAGCATCTTGGTATGTTGCATGTGTTGCCGCCACCTCTTCAGCTCGCTGTCTTCTCGATTCACTCACTGGCCCCTCATTCTGGGAGGTGAGCAGAAGCACCGATGACGTTAGGAGCCCGCAGCCCCAAAAACTTCTTGTATGTCGCCTACATTGGCATGGTTGGTAAGGGGTCAATGTAGGGATTATAGGGGTATATAATATATCTATAATATTATATAATATTCCATATAATCCGTGGAATGTTTGGGAATGAGACAGCGGTGAACCTGAAGTGAACACACACCACTCCTGACCTCACACCTGGCCAGGCCAGTCTCGTGCGGAGGAAGCGTATGGGAGACTTGCCAGGAGCGCTTCAAATAGGTGGCCTGGAGTGCTTCCATCAGTCCGGGCGCCAGCTGCCAGTGTGGTTGGTAGATGATCCTTCGCTGCTCCGAGATTCTCTGTGGGCTACCCCGCAAAAACCACACCCTCTCTAGGGCTCCAAGTGCCTCCTCAGAAGGTATTTGGACCCTCCAAACCCACCTCAAACACCTTCTTAGAAGGTACTTGGAGCCCTAGGGCCTGGCTCACCTGCCTTGGGTTCCTCGAAACAGACTGTCCAGTCCCAGATCAAACCATTCGGACTGGAAGAGTTACTTACCTTGGGGTCATCAATGGGGTAAACGGTAAATGTATGTAACTCTTCCAGTCCCAGGGCCGGCTGCGCGTTTGTCAGGGCAGCCCTTCCCCCCCTTCCTCGTGCTACATCCGTGGACCCATTCAAGTGCATGTTCCCAGACGCTCCGTTCACAGCTCGACTGGTCCCGAACCAAACCGCAGGGATTGGTGAGAAGGTCCGGACCCCTACAGATGGAGGGTCCAGGGTCGCGTTTGGGTTGTTGTTTTGTTGCGACTTGTGAGGCGTCGAGACTCTCGACATATCTACATGCCCCAAACACGACCATGGGGCTGGTTGAAAAGGGGTCAGTGTATAGTATAGGCTATCATAGGCCATACCCCAACAATATGCATATGTATTGAACTATTGAACTACCAGGTAATTACACCCTGGAAGACTAAACATGGACCCTAAAAAACCACTGGTTGCTAGAGGAGCCCCACTCTTCCAGGCCAGACAGTCAGGGTCCATGTGAGTTTGGAGTGTAACGACCATTGACCCTTTAAACATCTCCAAACCTCCCAACTGATCGGCCCAGGTCACGTCCGGATCATCGGGATCAGTGACACACGGTCAGAGGGCGAGTGGTCACGGGGAGCGGTTCGTGGTCGTCTTCGCTCAACCGCCGCGCGGTCAACGGAAAAACAGGCAGTTAGATGGTCTGGGGGAAAGCCTGTGCATCGAAGCTCGTCTAAGGCGGGTGTCTCCGCCTCCGATGCCAAAAAAGAACGCCCATAGCCTACTGCAGCAGCCTCGAATGTACTTAATGATCCATGGCTTCTGTGAATTGCCCAGCAAAAGTGCCCACTACGTAGCAAGCACATGCCAGCAACTGCAAGAAGCAACTTGGGTTCTTCGTCCGAGGCACCACCTGCTTTGCCAGGCCTTCACTTGAGCCTCACTCTCAGTGGTGAGCTGCACCTGGAAGTGGTCCGCACTGCCAGCATGGCGGCCTCAGCGAAAAGAAGCACAGGGTTGGTGTGCAAATAGATTCAAGAGGATTCAACAGGGTGTTTAGACCCGGGAAGATTAACATGGAACCCGCAAAAATGGACCTTTGGAAGACCTGGCTTACTGCACAAACCAGTTGTTTCTGGAACTTCATCTCGAATGGTCGTCTGGAGATCCCCATTTTAAAGGGTACCTGCATTCCAGCCAGCCAGGCTCCTTCGAAGGTACATTTTGGTGTAGGGTCTTAGTCTCTGCTATAGTTTCTGCTACTGCTCTCTCTCTCTCTCTCTCTGTGCTGCCATGAGGGTTATCCCACACCCCAGGCTGCCCTTGTTCTGCAGTCGAAACCAGCGAAACCAGCGCGACCTGGTGACAACCTGAATCCCCGACGTCAAAACTGCCGGCCCGAGTCGTACCTCAAAAGGATTCAAAAGGAGCAAACACTACGAAATGTAGGTACGACTTGAGCTCGCACAGGATCTTCCAATCCATGAGCTGTTGAGTTTCGCAGTCCGTACCAAATCGGGGGTAGCTCACCTCCGGCGCCATTGGAAAATGACACATCTGAAAGATTCTGAACCCACTCCCACACCCACAAGTTATATGCCCAACGAGTATGCTCGTTCACTGGACAACCACATGTCGTACTGTCCGGAATTCCCGAACGTAGTGCAGCGGTGAATCCTTTAAATTTGGTGAATCCTTTGAAGGTGCTGGAGGAGAACTTGAAATTCAGAACGGAGTTGTCACACATAATGTCATGAATTCACGTATATAATTGTCGTTCATGGATTGAGAGTGGCATCGGCAAAGCATCTGGAGGAGCAAGTAAGACCCAAGAACCTTGCTGGACCTTCATGTTGGGGCGTCCTATCTGGAAGCTCCACAAAAGCAAGTCCGCCATGCACAGGGTCTTCCAGAAGTCCAGTCAGGAGACTCCCGCAGATCCGGGGTGTACGGTGGACTTCTTCGTCGACCGCTCTCTCCAAGCGTCGTCCTTCAGCGCCACTCGCCCGCACCAGGCCGCCTAAGGGTGAGCCCTGCACGGTGAGCCGCTCACGGGCAGGAAGCCAGCGGCGCTGTGCCGGTGGGAGCTCTTCAGAGAGCTCGGTGGTGCGCTTGAGCCAGGTGGATTGAAGAGGTACCTGAGCCATCCATCACCCTTTTGGGCTCCGTACGGCCCACCTCCGTTTCGGTTCGGACTGGGGTGGGTGGGTGCCACGGGGGGTCGAACCACCGAACCTGAGGAGGACGAAATGCACTTGGAGCCCGGAGTAGGAACTCAGTGGCGAAGGGATCTAGACCTGGCGCCCAGCCAAGTGTGCACATGAGCTATCAGGGCCAGTGGTGACCCATCCAAAGATCGGATAACCCACAAAAACCATGGTACCTTTGGGCAGGTCCCATTCCCAGCAACGGTGGATGATGGTCAGCGGTCAGACCTCTCATTTAAAACTCTTCAATCCCCGACTGTTTCAGGCTTACTGGGATACAATATACTATTATTTCTATGTTTGGTGTGGTGTTTCACAGTGTCACAGGTGGATTGACCTCAGGACTTTTGATCACTCCAGGGTGATCGATGTAATCTATACCAGGACCTTCCAACAGGTGGTTTTTGGACACCCCTTAACCACTAAGAGGCTATTTATAGACACCTCTTGGAAGGTCCTGGTATATGTGCTGTTTTGCAAAATGTCCTCAGCCTCGGATTTGAGCCAAAAGGATGCTTGACTCCCAAACCAGGGGGTAAAACTATGGAATGAACGTTTACACCACAGGATGCCCATAAAAGGGTCGAGACATGTCAAGACTCTTTAGTGTTGCGGTAGTTTCTTGGAACAGAAGCTTCGCCAAAGGTTACTTGAACGGTTGCGACCCCCAAACCAATAATTCGCTGAACCGTTGCGACCGGAGCCGCTTCCAACTTCTGACTTCCAGGCTGCCAATTCCACTTCGCGCCCGGCTGCCGCGTAGCCGCCGTGCGTGGGCGCGATGGGAAAGCGCGTGAAGTGAGGGCCATAGATGTACCACCCATTGGCTTCACTCGGATAGTCCATGGGGCGCAGGGACGTGTTTTTTGCTGACCAAGACTTGCTTTCGACGATGTGTGGCGGGATCAAACTCGTCGTTTCACACGTTTTCGGGGATCCCTCAGTGTCTTGGTGGAACATGGAGGAGTACAACAGCAAGCTGGTCGTCTACCATTGGTGTGCTGATAAGCCCACCATTGGTGTGCTGATAAGCCCCTCAAAGATATGACCGGCTTGAGGTGCTCAAGCTGGTGCGTCTTCTTGGCTCCCTTGATGGGGCCAATTGACAGTCACAGCGCTTCAGCTGCATCAATGGCAGTGTCACCCCATTGAAATAGGATGAAAACACGGAGGTCCGCTAAGTCACTAAGTCCATAAAACCTGAAGTGCTTGTCACCATCTTGATATTGCTTAGTCATGGCCATTCCATAATTAATAATGTGGCAACAGCATTCGATGCATCGAACTAGATCCCACAGAAGCCCATGAAAAGTTCACAAAACCCTGAAAGCTTTGTCCTCAGAGCCACGTTCTCTGAGCCAAACAAGCAAAGACTCGTCCAAATTGCACTCCCTGAAGGGTTACTCCTAGGTCACACACCTACACACCTACCAAAAAAACACTGCATTGTAGCCGAAGGTAAGAAGACTCATATATATATATAACATCATTTAAACAAAAAACAACTATTAAATAATCTAAAATACTGTAATCTAAACCTTCTTTCCGACAGGCATGCGCTGCTTCCTTTTCACCCGCCAGGCGGCCCCGCAAAAAAAAAAAAACAAGTCGGTCCCAAGACTCTCTCTCACGATTTGGTTCAACCACGGGCCATTGGCCATGATGTCCTTTAGGGAAAGCATGGAGGGGTCGATTCGACAATAAATTGCATTCGCTGTAACCCTAGGGCTCCCATGGCACCCACCCCAGCCCCACCGAAACGGAGGTGAGGTGGGCCACGAGTCCAAATGGGTAAATTCACTTCTTTGGACATGATATTTGCCCTGTAGGGCTCCTAGGACATCGTTCCATTACCCTACAGCTTAACATGACCTATAGGGCTCACTTCATCTTTCCACCTCTTGCCCTCGTTTTTTCTGCCCGTTGGAGCTTTCTTCGCACCTGGGACACCGAGTTAGAGATGCGCGGGCCGATGCCACCCAACTCCACGGACTCTTCCAGTCCTGGGTCCGGAACCAGCGGAGGACCCGGCGAAGCTGGGGAGTCCCCGCGATGGAAGAGGAAGAACCGGAGAGAACCGGAGAGAACCGGCGGACCATCCGTGAGAACCGGTGGAGCGGCTGATCCAGGGCAGGAGACCGGTCCAGGTAGATGTGTGTGCTTGAAGATCTTGAAGAACCAATGGGGCACCAGTCAGTAGGCTACACATTCTGTTGCACAAAGCCTGTGGCACCAAAAGACTCTTCCCAGCCTTCGCGGCCTGGCCTCTTCCAGGTGACTCTTGGGAGGGAGGGTTTTTCCGCTGACTTGGCGGAAAGAGGCGTCGGCAAACGAGCAGAAGAAAGGGTGCTGCGCTTCTGGCAGAAGTTGTTGTCTCCGACGCCAGGTGCTCCTCTCAAAGAATTCTTCACTTGCTTCTCTGAAAGGCTAAGGGGAAGCAAGTGAGACAGGGTAAGAATTTTCACTTGCTTCTCTAGCTGTCGGGTTGTGGAAAGCCTCCGTGGCTGTTCGTTGACATCACGTGGGAAGTGGAACATTTGGTCCCTTTCAAGGCGAATTGTTCTTGACGAACACATTAGAGGAGGGGGGAACACACCTGGCGGGGACCATGTGCCATCCACTTCCATGTGGTCAGAGTGTAACCTGTGTTTTTCTGATTCTTCTCATCTGGGGGGTTATTAGTCAAAAGTCTACAATAACTCCACTGAAGAATAACCACGGATTTGTAGAGGAAAACGGTCTTTGAGGGTGCTAATCTAAGGAGTGTAACACACCTGCGACTTCCCTGCTGAGGAGCTGAACACCTTCAGGTCCCGTGTAAGAGTCCTGGGTCGCTCGATGAGGACGGATGTTTGCTTGTCCCGGTTTCGAGCGGCAGCGTGGTGCGAAGCATGAGGAACATCAACAGTGAACCTCCGTTTTCGCCCGGAACCCAACTACAATACAGGTTATATATCCTGCTGTCTTGTTTTCTGGTAGATATAACCCTCGAAATGTTGACAGCGGCATCGAATGGCAAACTCTTCATCTTGGTTGGGTTGCATAGAGCATCGGAAAAAAACATATGGGCTCTCATGGCGCGTGCTTTGGGCAGAAGTTTCTGGGGCTGGAAGCTGAACAGAACCACTTCCAAAACCCGGACGACTCCTGTGGTGTGCTTGCGTGACGGATGGATGCTCTCCGATGCGGCCACAGGGGAGACTCAAACAGCTGAGGCTATTCCGGAGTGGTTCCAGCGAAGCGCGACTTAGGCTGTTCCATGTGGTGGCTGTTTCATGTATTGCAGGACGAGAGTTGCTCCTATGGCCTTTATCTTGCAGGTCCTTTGAGCCAGAAGTGAAATGAATTGGTCCAACAACTCGTCTCCCTCTCAAAGATGAACAAGGGCCCACCGCACGTCCCGTGAAACGTGCAAACACCGCAACTGAGTCAAAGTATGGTCCTACCATCCATTCCCGCAGCCAAAGTGGGTAAGTATCGATCTCTACCTACTTCGATCTCCCTCTCTCTCTCTCTCCCTCTTTCTTTTTATATTACACCCTAGAAGTCTAAAGACAATTTTTGGCAACACCGAAGTAGAGGAAGCTCCTTTTTCGATTCACCTAAGGAACATTTAAGAAATGGTTCTTGGCCTCCCAAGGTAATTTTGAACTGAGACTCGTGGACTTATCTTTCATATTATTTCACAAAATCTAGAAACAATGATTGAATGACATCTGCAAACATCTGCCAAAATACTTCAAAGCCGGCTCAAGTCACATGCCCATGTTTACTTACTCTATCCAGGCCAGTTTGGATAAATGTATTAGGCTCTTCGACAATGCTTCATTTCTCCTGTGGTCTGATGTCGAACACATCCGGTTCCAGGTTTACCACCAAGTGGCGTTTTTCGACCTTCGGTCCGCTTCGCCACTTTGTCAAATGTCTCATTGTTGACCTGCAGGAACGTCGCCGGAAATGCGACGAGTGGCGTGGTCGCAAGCAAAACGTTTTGCCCTGGCTGCCTAGGGAGTTCAAAACGATTGTAGACCCCACCACCTTGTTTCATGAGGCTGCCAAACATGGAGATTCCGAGCTGATGATACAATATTGGATCAACAAAAGCTTGACCACTCCCAATGAGGACCTTTCCATATACCTTCTGACGAGGTATGTGGAATGCCAGGGAATCTGGTTCCCTCAGTGACTCAGCTTCCCCGGAAAAAAGAGGTGCGCCTTTGTCCACCTCTGGAATTTGAATGGGTTATAAATCCCAATCGCCCCAACAAAGCCTGACCTGCACCTGATCCATATATGGGTTTGAATAATAAGTCCGGCTCTATAGCTGCTGTGCCTGGAAACGCCCCCCCTGCCCCAACTCGACTGGCACCGAAAAAGCCACATCTCGCCTTTCCCTCTTGGATCGAGCGCATGAGCACCTTCCGGCCGTCCACGGGTTCGCGATGGAACTCTTCCCCAGGGTTTCGACGGGAATTCACCCACAGTTCGGGAAGATGCATTCAGGTTCCCCCCCAGGTTCGGGGGGGATTCACCCAAAAGTTCGGGGAATACTATTCGAATTGCAACAGCCATTCACCCAGGGCACGGTGAGTTTCTGGTCGAGCATCTTCAAGTCCGCTTGCATGGCCACCTGGTGAGAGCAGCGAACGAATCCGGTGGTGACCCGAAAGCAGACGAAAAAGGGTCACAAAAACACTTGAATGAAAACAACCGTGTTGTGCTTCAAGAATATCAATATATCTTAAGGATATATTCCGGCAACATGTTTGTTCATGTTGGGTTCAGGTATGATAACCCTGACTGAGCATCCGCGATAAATACAAATTACAAACCACAAGAAACATCAAGAAACCTATATGCATTATCCACAATTTCCACGTACAAAGAAGGACACCCGAACAAGGCCAACTACAAAGGCCAAACATGCGTCCCTTCTCAAAGATTCAAGCTGAGAACTCTTAGATGCAAACATGTTGCAGGCTCACAAGTCTTAGGTTATGATGTGTGATTGACCAAAGCCTTCGAAGAAGGTTTGACTGCAAGGGGAGGAACAACATAGTTGTTCCAGGACCCACCTCTTCCGGTATTCTCTTTGGAAACGCATTTTGCGGGACGAGTGGCCAAAGTGGCACATTCTATGTCAATGGGGGTTGCTTGTGCCAAGTTCAACCAGAAATTTGAAGCACAGTGCCACTGTGCAGAATAGTGTTGCACTTGTTTGTTTCTAGTGAACAATTCAAACTGTACTGCAAGGATATCTGGCAATCCCTGAGCTTGGAAAAAATAAAGAGGCAAGGGAAGGATCTTGGAAATGCTAGGGGTCCCATGAAAGGCCCTTTGAACTATAAGGACTAATGTAGCAATGGATGAATGGACAAAGGAAGACGTTACAGAAATGACAAATAAAATCTTTGATGTATTGATGTACATGTCACATGTACTAAATTGTTTTGTTTATTTTGCAAATTGTTTTTTTTTTTTATTTGTTGTCTTTCAGTTGATTTCTTATCGGTTTGCTAATTGACTTGGATATGCGGAAACAAATTTGTTGACTAATGCCTTCACTGTGGTGCACCGTGTAGTCCATCAGCGTTTCCTTCAGCAATATCAAGATCAGTTCATGTTAATCGAAATCATATCCGGATACAGTTGCGCTTCCGTCACAACCTACATTGAAACCATTGGGTGAACCATCCGGCCTGGCCAGGTCCACTTACAAACGTAGAAAATCAACAATGCAGGTCAAAGTCGCAGTGTCAGGTTAAATGGCCCTCCAAGGGTTCGTCCCCGTGTCCAAAAGTCATCTTTGCATGACCACCCACCAACTTGACCCTTCAATCACAAACACGACGTCAATGCTTAAGCACATGCAAGTTGAATCCTTGATGGAACCATGACTTTGCATACAGTCCCTTCAGCTCCTTCGCACGACGCCACCAACGGACCGGCCTGGTCAATGGCTCGTGCCGGGCCCTTGCAGCGTAGTACTCCATCTATGAATTCTTCAAGAGTCACCTTCCAGCGGAAGAAAAAAATAGTAGAAGAAAAGGCAGTGGTAGTAGTCGTAGTAAGAGTAGGAGTAGTAGTAGTCGTCGTCGTGGTGGTGGTGGTAGTAGTAATAGTGGTGGTGGTGGTGGTGGTGGTGGTGGTAGTAGTAGTAGTTGTTGTTTTGGTAGTATAAGTAGTAGAAGTTAGTAGTAGTAGTAGTCGTAGTCGTAGTCGTAGTAATAGCATCAGTAGTAGTAGTAGTAGTAGGAGGAGTAGTAGTAGTAGTAGAAGTAGTAGCAGTAGCAGTAGCAGTAGTGGTAGAAGAAGTCGAAGTAGAAGTAGAAGTAGAAGTAGAAGTAGTGGTGGTGGTCGTGGTAGTGGTAGTGGTAGTGGTAGTAGTGGGGGTAGTAGTAGTAGTAGTAGTCGTAGTAGTAGTAGTAGTAGTCGTAGTAGTAGTAGTAGTAATAGCATCAGTAGTAATAGCATCAGTAGTAATAGCAGCAGCAGCAGCAGTAGTAGTAGTAGTAGTAGTAGTAATAGCATCAGTAGTAATAGCATCAGTAGTAGTAGTAGTAGTAGTAGTAGTAGTAGTGGTAGGAGTAGTAGTAGTAGTAGTAGCAGTAGCAGTAGTGGTAGAAGAAGTAGAAGTAGATGTAGAAGTAGAAGTAGAAGTAGTGGTGGTGGCCGTGGTAGTGGTAGTGGTAGTGGTAGTAGTGGGGGTAGTAGTAGTAGTAGTAGTAGTAGTAGTAATAGTAGTAGTCGTAGTCGTAGTCGTCGTCGTAGTAGTAGCAGTAGTAGTAGTATAGTAGTAGTAGTAGTACTACTACTACTACTAGTACTAGTAGTCGTAGTCGTAGTTGTAGTAGTAGTAGTAGCAGCTGTAGTAGTAGTGGTGCTGGTGGTGGTGGTGGTGGTAGTGGTGGTAGTGGTGGTAGTAGTAGTAGTAGCAGTGGTAGTAGTAGTAGTAGTAGTAGTAGTGCTAAGTGCTAGTGCTAGAACACCGCAAGGTCGTAACCACATGGGTATATCATGTTCAGGGACGGTCACAGGGCAATCCAAAAACAATGCTTTAGACCCCCCTCGTGTGGTTGCAAAAGGGCAGCACCGCTTGGCAGATTTTACAAACGAGAGGTTGTCATTGGACTGACAAAGCAGCCGCGCAGGATAATCATTCACCTCGTGAGCTGTCGCTGCTTTGACTCGGGGAGCAGCGCCGCGGAATCGAGCCAATTCTGATCCGCAAAGGATGATTGCCACTTTGACAGCCGCCAACTTTCGCGAGATTGTCCATTTGTGTCCCAAGAGATCCTTGTTGGCAGGAACATCAAGATGTCAATAGGTCCAAAGGGCCAGGGGTTTGACCGATTCAGAGTACCCAAGAACTTGCAAACGCAGGCCTCCTGGCAAGCCCCAATTGTCTGCAACTTAGCCTTCCAGTCGATGTCTACAAAAGAGACCAAGAGTAGCCAGGTGACCCGACATGAAGAGAGAATCTGTAGTATGTGTGAAGAGAAGGTGGGAACAACTGTTCTTAAAAGAAACGAAGCGCCCAGCCGTAGGTTAGGCTTGGAGCCCAATGTAGTGAACGAGGCGCAATGCCACCAAAGAACCTTTTGCTCACGGGTCCGTTTGCTGTACGGAAACCGATATATCTGAGTCTTGCTCAAGTTTTCCTGGAGCCCCAAACGCAAAGGGTGATCTTGCCATGCTGCCCACACGTCTGCCCACACGTTCGGAATCTAATTAAATAGCTCAGCCGTTCTGGCTTCATTGTTGAGGAACACTGTCTGGGCCACCTTCCTTGTGGCAAGAGAGAGAGAGAGAGTGTGTGTGAGCTCGTGTGCCTTGGGCAGTGAGTCCAGTGCGAAAGAATGTTGAAAGTCCAGTGAGTCTCTGTGACCAGACTTGCGGCGCCCAGCAGCTTCGAAAGGTACTGGGGTGGTTTTATGGGGTCGAAGTATCTTCTGAGCAGGTACGACTGGAGCCCCTGACCCAACGAATTCAATTACAGGATTCAATTAAAGGATGTTCAATTGTGAGCCTCCCAAGTGTGGCGGGAGGCCAGCAGGAACATGAAACTTTTACACTGCAAATATTGAGCCATGATGGATCCAAGCTGATGCTTTTGCTTAAACATCATTAACCTTGCCTGGTCCGTTGGGATTTGCACTTGCACTATTTTTGTTAGTTTTGCTAGGTCCTTGTGTTTGTGGTATGTTTTCTGTGCTTCAGAGCAAACATGTTGTCAAGTCATCTGTCAGGCAAAAGGATTGGCACAATGCGGAGATCTGATTCTCACATGGGTTTAGAGGTCTTCCGGGGCCTCCCTACTCTCCCACATAGTTTGATGGAGCCCTGTGTCCAACCCCCACGGGGCCAAGCTGGTGTTTCATCTCACTTGGTCCTGGGGGCGTTTCCCTCTCCTCCTCCAACCACATGTTCCCTCCTCTAAGATGAGGTTAGACACTATTAGCCCATTTGAAAAGACTAGTTGCATTTTGATTAATATATAGTCTAGCTATGTGAACAAGAGCTGTCTATCAATAAATGCACCCAACAATACCTGGTGTAAAATAGGTACACAAAATGTAGATTTTGGTGGATACTCACATATACAGAATTTACAAACAAAATAGAAGCAGCAGTAGCTCAATAAAATGAACACTAAACTGACATCAAACTAACACAAAACTGACATCAAACTGGGACATACTGGCACCAGTTAGGTGCTGGTGTCAGTTAGGTGTCAGTTAGGTGTCGGTTTGGTGTCAGTTTGATGTCGGTTTGGTGTCAGTTTGGTGTCAGTTTGATGTCAGTTTGGTGTCATTTTGATTTGATGTTAGAAAAATTGCGCTTTGGATTTACATTTTTGGACCACGTGTGTTTTGATTTTGTAATTTTGAGTTTCTTTGCAAAAAAAATAAACATCAAATACTTGCCAGAAATACTTGCGAAATGTTCGGTGCAAGCAACAAAAACAAATCCCAGCGCTCATATTGATAGCGCAAATGCAAAGACTATCCTCTATGCTTTAATAACAAGGAGATTGAAATCAAGAGAATGCCAAAACATCAATCTAGACATTGGCAAGTGTTAAGCTACACTTCAAGTGCAAATCACGGTCCAAGTGTGACCTTATGCAAGTATTTGTTCGACATGAGTCCTAAGTGCGACTTGCTTTCAAGTAGGCCCGTAGGCTTCAATTAAAAGGTCTCTTGTCCAAGTGTTACCTTGTTCAAGTTCTAGTTCAAACTCTAGTCCAGGTATTAGCTCGACAGTAGTCCCACAAGCGCTACTTATCTTCAAGAGTTTGCAAGTGTGCACAGCTACCAAATTCTATAAACCATCAAACCCTTTCAGAAACACATCCACCAAGAAAACACATGCATGGATGCTTCAAGGATGCATTTGCACAAGAATAACTCTATTTTTGCACCGTGCCTAAGATCCAAGGTCAGGTAGCTGCAGCAACCATGCCCAACCCAAGAACACACCAGATAGTAACAACACTTGTTTCTTGCATGGCAGAGGCTTGGTCCAAGTGTTACCTACAGCATGTGGAAGCAAACATGCGCAACCACAACGCCATTGAAAGGCGTTCCTTTGTCGGGCTTTCTCAACAAGTTAGTTTGTTTGTTATTCTTGCGCAGGCCACAAGTGTCTAATTTCTTTTTGCGTCTGGAACAGAAACAACATGTGTTGGATACTACTACGTTCGGCACGCCAGCCATAGATACAAGGAACCAAACAACAAAAACAGACACAAAAGTACAGCAAACAAAAAACACCGGTGAAAAAAAAAACAAAACAAATACAACAACAAAACAAATTGCATTGTTTTTGCATTTTCATTTTCTGTTGTTTTGCATTCATTCGCCTTTTTTTCACACATATACATATATTTGGTGGTTGGTCATGTATGGCTTCCACCGCTGAACATAAGGATACTATTTCAACACAGCTCTTCAGGCTATTCAATGAAATAGGATATCAAATAACCAACTTTTGTTTTCACTCATAGTCAGGATTTAAGAGATTAGATAATAGTCAGGATTCTGTCTAATCTCATCTTAGAGGCTACCTACGCTCACAACCAAACAGCGACACATCACCCACTCCTCCCCTTGCGCCAAGCATTCTGCGCCTCTCCATCTCCGTTATCCAAAATGTGGAAAAGCGCCGTGCCTGCAGCTGTCAGCAGCAAAAAGCTCGTACCCCCAAAGAACGAACCCCTACAAATCCACAAACCATAAGGTGAATGAAGACTCTTTTTGGTAGCCCGGAAGATCGAACGAACTGTTTCAAGGCGTGTGGATTTCTACTGCCTCTGAAAAATTCCAGAGGCTCCAAAAGGCAAAACCTTCCAACCGGCACACTAGAACAGCTGCCGCTGCAGCTTCATAGTACATGCATCTTGACACAGCAAATCCCGAGTCGGAGCACTCATCAAGAAGCGCTACGCAAAATATTCCTGTCCACGTTTAAAAAATACGCCCCCCCCTACTAAGGAAACCTCGGTCGCATTTTTTAAAAGGGGGTCCCTGAAATCGGGGTTGTCCAAAATAGGGTCACCTGGGAAGAGCTTCAAAACCAAAACAGTCACCCAGGAACAAAATATATAACATCCTTTTTAAGCTCGTTCAAAAATTCAACAAACATCCGTATCGAGGGGTCTTCCTTTCCTCTACAAAAACCTTTATTGGAATAGTGAATCTTCATTAGACTAACAAGTAAAGCTTTCGAAAGGTGATGTCGCTGTGCCATGCCGTTTTGCGTGACCTCGGTGGAAAGTGCGTTTGCGTGAGTCCGTGCCATTGGGGGAAGGAAAGCCTGCTGGTGTAAACACTGCGTGTCATGGTGGATAGACAGGGTGGACAGAGGTGGGCAGTTACGGTTGTTTTTTGGACCAAATTAAAGAACTCCTCCAAAATCGGCCATGTCGGTAGTTTAGTAGCGGCTTTAAAGGGCGGTAATTTAAAAAACACACATAAGGCATATTTAGGGGGTAGTTTCCGACATGACATTTGGGATCCAATAGGCGCTCGCTTTGAAATTGCGCCCTTCACTTTCTACTACTAAAATTGTGCTCCCAACATCTGTCTTGGGAGAACTCCATGTATTATATACCCATCCGCTCACTAGATGCCAACAACAGTGCCGGTACACACACACACGTGTCCCGTTTCCCAATGGCACGGAGCCACACCCTCACGCATGCACCAGGTTCCCACCCAAAATAGGATCTCTTCCTCCCAAGAGCAGGGCGCTCCATGTCTGGGTTCACCCAGGTCTAGCTCTATGCCCCTATCCACCGGAACCAGCACGGCGCTCTCCGGTCTTCGGTCCACCTTCGTGCACTGCCAGGTCCAAGGTGTCGAAGTAGGCTTTCACCCGCGGATTCCTCGCTGGATCGGCCAGGTGGGGAGGGGCGAGAGTGCACCCTGCCAAAGGTAGGGGCTTCCGATGGGTGGGTTTCTGGGGGGGGGTCAAGGTAGGCACAGATATAGCATACATGGAGTGTCTGGGTGCATGTATATATGGATAATTCACATACATTGACACCTTTTTCAACCACCCCAATATGTATAAGATGCCATACACAGGAAATGTCTGGGTGCAAGTGGCTGGTACAAAGATGTCAAGTATCTCTCTGGGAATGAAAAATCGCGCTTTGGTACCCCTTTACCTATTACGTACACTTGGGGGAATCACCTCAAAACAACTCGAGCAAGGCCGTTCTGTGGGCCATCTGTGGGACATCTCGCTCTCGTTACCTAAGCATGCTGGACAGGCTTGGCATAGGAGGCGGTCCATCGGAGTCTTGTGACTGCAAGCATCTTGAGCGTCATCGTAGTAGACCCTCGCTATATAAGAGAAGGTCATCTTCCGCAGCGCGAGACGATCCTTCAGTCCGTCGCTTGGGGAGCTCCCGGTGGAAGAAAAGCGAGACGCGCGACGGAGAACAGGGGCGAGGCACCGATGCCCTGCGGAAGTCTGAAGCTCCACATCTGATCCCCATCATGATCCTTGCTTGCTTCGCAAACTCTAGCTTCGAGACCCAGCGACCCTCTGGCCCCTTGAAGGTCGCGGGGCTGGGCAGCCTTCCCAGCAGGAAGCAAAGCTGCAAATTGGGTCCTGATGACTTCAAAACATCTGCAGCACTGCCATCATGCCCTTGCAGTCCTCAGGCCTGCCGTTGCAGTTCTCATATTGTTGACCACATTCTCTACATCATCACCCAGTGGATCCGCATGGAACACAAAGTGGAATTTGAACCAGGTTTTTTCGTTCAGTCTAGGCTTTGAGATGGTTTGAGTCTTTGGAACCCGTGTACCATAGTTAATGTATAGACTAACTACTTGATTAATAATATTAATAATAACCACCCACATAGAAAAGGTCAAACCATCAAAGGGGGGGTTCTACAATCAACAGTCTACGTTTATAACAATTCTCTTCCAGTGGTTTCCAGGATCCACTGGGTTTCCCAGCCTTCTGCAGGTCTCCCCGTCACGTGGTGTGCCGGAGCTCATGCGCCACTGCGATGTCGCATATGGCGGAGTGCCAAGGTCGACCTCCTGGGGTCGTAGGACCTTTTGGAGAGCGCCACACCTCCAGACTGATCCCATGCTGCACATTGCTGCACTGGGATTGGCTTCAAGTTCTTCCCTTCAAAAAGGGACTCGGAACAATCAGCCCCACCCGCCCCAAACAAAACCGCCCGCCCGTTTCGAGGGAACCAAGATCTGAGAGACCCCTCGTTACCTTGCACTCTCCGCGCCCCCCCCCTGTTGCCTGACGACGCACGGAACCTCCGTGTTCGGCTCGGGTTCGCTCTGAAACCCCCGGAGGGCTCGGCATCCCGGCTCCAGCATGGCATTGAGCCTTTCTTCGGTGATCATGCCATTTCCGCCTTGATCCACGCGGGTCCAAGGGAGGCCGGGTCGGTGGAACGCGGTGTTTCCATTCTGCTGTGGTGCGGTGGATGGTGCTGGCGGAAGGCGGCGGAACAGCGGTGCAGGGAGAGAAAAGATGGTGTGTTTCTCGCTCTGTTCTTTAGTGTGTCTTTTTCGGAGGAACAGGTGAAAGGATGTGAAAGGAATTGACGTGAGAAACGCTTTTTGCGTGAGGGTCCCGGGGTCCCGGGTACTTGAATACACACCTGGAGCCTCGAAGTACCTCCGAAAATGGGTATAAGTACCTGTTGTTTTTTTCTTATGAGGTCATGTCCCATTTTCTAAGCTACTCACTGGAGGGTCCAGGTACTAGACTGTAAAACTGTAGCCTGAACGGAAAGTAGATGGCACAAGAGGCGCTCGCTTTCCATGTGCATTTTCAAACAGGATGCATCCTTCTATAAAGCAACTAACCTTGAGATTCGCGCGAGCCGCTCCACCATGAGTCACCCTTTCTGGCGAGGTTCACTCACAAACTCACTCACCATACCACATGTTTGGCCATTGAACGGCAGGAGCAGCAGGTTACTTCAGTGTGGCCGTTAATACATGGATCAGCACTGTGCTCCACAGGAATGTGAAGCATGAATACCAACGAAGTTTCAGTGTGGGGCAAAAAGACTACAGCAAAAATAAACGATAAAACATACATATAGCAGCTAGCATCCCACTACCGCCAGGGTGGGAGAAAACACATGCCGCATGCCTTGTATTCACCAACGGTGGATCTCTCGGGGGTGTGTTGGTTCGCGTCGAACACCTGCCCTGGACCATCGAACCGGAACGTTCCAGCGGTGTTCCCGCGGCCAAGCGGCTGTCATCGATGTGTGAGAAAAATCTCCTCAACCATCGGGGAAAACGAACAAAGGAGAGGTTGAGGTCTACCTGATCTGTATCTTGGAGTTGCTGGAGGAACCTGGAAAATGATTCCCCAGAAGGGGATTGAACCATTTTAGGGAACAATTTGCCTTGAACAAAACCAGGTTGTAGGACCCTGCATCAGGACCCAGTCGGGGTGGTTCATGGACGTCCCTTCACCTTCACCTCTTACTCCTTCGGGCCCTGGTAGAGGTACATGGGATGGGCGATTATTAGAACCTGGTATAGGCTATAGGTTGTTTCTATAGGGGATGGCATGTTTCCTGGATCCTGTGGGGCTGTTCAACCTCTCTTGGAACATCTCAGCAAGCCGCTCTTGGAGGATACCAGGTCAACCAGGTATAACCAAATCGGCACCAGGTCGGTCTGGAGGTTGCCAGGTCGAATGACCCCTCAAGTAGAACAGGAGTTAAAATGAAGTGGATACAACTACCAGGTTGAATAGGTAATCCAACACCAAAACCAATACCAAAGGTAGAAAAGGGCACATGTTTCCCACCCTGGTCTCCACATGTTGTTCTGTAGCGGTCCTGAGTCCCGAGAGGTGCCAAAACGGCCAATAAGAAAAGGCCTATTTGTTGTGTTTTACAGGCCATCTGCTGCCAAACCCAATAGGAAAAAGGACGCATCAATGGACATTGAATATCATTGAATTGTATTGCATTTGATGCACCAAAAACATTGAATCTGAGGAACAACAATCACAAAATGACTGATGCTTGTGGATTCACTACAAAGCGTTTGTTTGGATTTGTTTGGTTGGTCATTTCATCCAAATTTTTAAGGCCAGCGTCTCCAGTTTCTGCACGTATTGGGCCTTCTTCTTTAGACTCTCCGACAGCTGATGCTCTGCATCCTCAGGGTCTGGATCGCAGGATGATGAAGAAATGAATTTTTGGCTGGGGTGCGAAAATTTTGCCGGGCAGGATGGGATCGCAACATTAACATCATCACATGGTTTGCGGTCGTAAATCGCTAAAACCTGCGTTTGAACATGTTAAACAAACAATGGAATTTCAATCGGCCATGTTTGGCCACACATGACAACCCCAACTTGCCCCAACCAGCTGCAAAAATCGAGTGGATGTAAAACTAACAAGAAGAGGGTTTGTCCCATAACCGCGCCCGCCTAATTTCGGACTTTGCTGCTGCCCCTTCGGCCCCCCTTACAACGATCAATCTTCACCACTAACGGACCTCTGGTGTCAACACGGACGAGATATATGCCATACGCGGCGCACCTTATCCATGTGATGTGTCCATGACCAAAAGATGTGCGCAATAGCCGTTCACTCCTACAAAAAACGTGATAGCCGTGATAGCAGTAGATGCCATTTTAGATGCGGTTTCCACACGCAATTACCAACAAAACATCTCAGTCCAAGTCCCTGACCCACCAGGCCTTGCAGCCGAGGAACATTTTGCGCTGCGTCCAATGTATCTTTCAAAAAACACCGCAGTTATGACTCTGATTGCAGCAAAAACAACCACTGTGATGTACAGGACGAAGAAAATCACCTCAACTTCCCCCACGCCGCGCAAAATGGTTTCACACCTACACTGCTAACCCAGGCATGCGTATGCTGCGCAAAACGGCCACCCGCAAACGCCTGAGGAAATTCACAAAGGTCAGTCCCTTATGACTTTCGCTATCCCCGCACCAGAAGCAAACCGAATAATGATCTGTGATGTTTGTTCGACGTGGGGTCTGGCCATTGTAGCTATCAGGGTGAAATTGGGGGATGGGCATGTCAGCGCAACTGATGCTGGATAAAGTGATGAGTCACATTCAACTTTCAAAAAAGAGCCCCCCTTGTTTGAAGTACTGTACACATTTTTGTTTTCAGCTACGAAGTGCAACGAAGTCCACAAAGGCTAGTGCAAAATGAGTCTCCAAGGGGGTCGTGCACGTTGCTTGGCAATAGCTATATAAATCCTATACAAAATGCATTAGCCAACGGTGGGTCATCACTATTGTAGAGATAGATATGTTCACTACAAAATGCTACGGCGCAACGTTGTCAAACATTTTAAAAATGCTAAACTGCTTACTCATTTCTTGCGATTGGTGTCTCTGGATTTACCACACCAAGAATCCCCACACTCTGATTCTCAAGCGCGATGTTCTCAAGAGGCAGGCTTACAGGCATCTTGATTAGCCTTTACAAAATGCATTGAATAACATATCCACTCTGAGCATATTCTCCAGAAATTCCAACTACAAAGGTCACAGTATTCAAAATAAAGTCGTAAACATGGTGGCCTTGACTCTAGTCACTTTGCAAGGGAAATTCGAGCAGGGATTGAAAAGAGATGTTAGAAGAAGGATGGGGCACCTGAAACCATATATATATATACTTATATACAACTGATTATTGATATATACACATTGACACCGAATCTGCCTCCCTTTTCCTTCTCACAGGTGTAGGGCTGGGTCTGTGAAAGAAGACGAAAGAAGAACACCCGATGCGGGCTCACTCACGCGGCCATGATAATGGTCGATCCCGTGACGTGGAAGAACTTGTCTCAGATGGGCCTGCAAGGTCAAATCCATCAGCATCCCCAACAGTATCCGCACGCAAAGAGAGGAAGTGGCAAGGCCCCCCCCCGGTCTTCACGGAGATGTCGCGCATGAACTTCAAGAACTCCGTCCGTCGGTGCAAAGGGGAGTCAAGGCCGACGCGATGTTCTCCAAATCCGTGTCCACTATCGGAAGAAGGGCGGATCTTCTCATCTTTCATCAGGAAGAAGGGCGGCGCCCGATCAAGGAGTTCCCATCGAATCCCAACCTCTGCGTTTCCAGTTGAGCTGCACAATGCAGATCAAAGCAGTGTCCAGTAGACTTGTCGAATTTGTTGGAACATTCTTGCACTCAAGGTACGTCACAATGACTAGCCGTGATGCCCGCACGTACACCCATGCAAACGCGAAAGTCCTTGCAACATTTGCAACGCAGCTGTGGCAAGCAAATCCCACTGGGACACCATGCCACGACCAAGTCCTTACACTACTTGCTTCCGCATAGGGCACTGCGTTTCACCAAGCAGGCCTTCTATATAATATGCTTTCAATCTACAACGGGACACTGCTATAATTTGGGTCTATCCTATTGCCTGTAGCAGTGGATGATGATGGCTAGTACAGGCCTTTCTCTAAAATTGTCTACTGACTGTTGCAGGTAATAGGGCAGACTATAATCAGTGAGGTGCAGACGATCCCTTTCAAATCTTTTCAATGGATTGAGCCACTCAAGGACTGAGACATGAACAGTGGAGAAAAAAAGGGGGGGCACAGGGCACACAGCGGATGACTGTACAAGCCGTTTGGGCAGGAGGAGCCATTCCGAGCGAGACACCAAACTCACCAAATATCACCCAATTAGATTTTCCCGTCTCTGGTTTTGTTAAACCCTGTCTTGCAAAATCAAGAAGGTGCTTCTTGTTGGGTTGCTGATTCATGCATTTTCAGACTCAGGTCATGACCCACCCCTTGCAAAGGAACACTTGCAGTAGCAGCTTGCGCATATTGGCCCAAGTAAAGACCCGTGATAATTACAATGCAGAAAAGATATTAGTCCATCAGCCATGGCAGTCCCCAATGAGCCCACCACGTCCAATCTCTAAGCATTGCCTCCCAAAACGGATGGTCACGTCTGTCCTCTTCATTCTGTCCTCTTCCGCCCCTTCACTCCAAACAATACTCCCGGCTCCACCGCCAGGTCGGCTCCGCCGTGGCAAGCGGTCCGAGCCAGCAAACCGGCTCCGAGTCGCATAGTAGTGGCTCACCTTGTCCAAGACCGGCCGCACGTTGGTGGGCCAGTTCCTCCGCGCGCGCACCCGCCGCGCAGCCAAAAAAGCATGCCGCAGATCCGTGGTAGTGGTGGCGGGGTACTCAAGCAGCGGAGGGAGGAAAAAGTTCCACACACTGAGCCCTTCGAAAAACGGGGGACGCGGCCACTAGGGCCACTTCGTCCCGCTCAGGTTGGCTGGCGACTGGTTAAGTCCGACGCACCAACACCCGGGTTGGAAGCTGCTGGTCTCCAGGACATTTTCTTCCAGCAGCTACCCAACAGCATCCAACTACCCAACAGCGTCCAACAGCAAATCACCGGCCACTTGATCCCCGAAGTGATCCAAATGCTATGCACCATGTCCAGGCCAATGCAGGTTGCTTTGCCAACGGCCTGTGTGGGCAGAAGAGGAGGCTTGCGTCCAATGAATAGATATGAATAGGACAGTGCCCTCCCAGCTCCAAACAGGCCTTTCCTGGTCCCTCAAAACCATAGGGCTTGGTGTTCGTCCGGACCCCTGACCCGAGGATTTGGGTACGGCCCCCACTGAACGGAGGGTCCATGAGCGCCTGGGCTGATGCTTTTGCTCCTCACAAAGTTCCTTCCCAACAAATCCAAGTTTCCCAGCGAACGTGATTTCCTGGGCGGCCGCACAGCGAGCCAAGGGCAGGGCAAACCAAATACGGCGCTCCAATGGGAGGCCATGGGGCTACAAAGGATGGACCACGACATTTGGGCAAATCAGGAACAAACCCAAATCATGCATGTATGAAATAGTGTTGAAATATGTTACTATGTTGTTTTCCCATGCATCATGGATGGTCTTGGAACAATCATTACAAAACATGGTTCAACTCGTAGTGAGCAATGTGGTTTACGGTAAACATCATGTTTTGTTTTGATTGCACGCCGAGGTCGAGGTGGCTTGCAGTTGCTACTTCTGTGAATGACTGCCGATTGCCACCACAAATGTAATAACTACACTTAGCTCCCTTAATTGTCCTAAAGCACACAACAAAATTGTGGACAACCAAATGCGCGTGGTTATGCAAACTAGTTTCTGTCTTTTTGCTGGCTTCTAGATGGACAAGCAAACATGTTGCACAGTTGGAAGATCTTGATATATCCATTCAACGCCTTCCGATCCATTCTCAAAGTCCGGGCTTTGAAGGTCACCTCCCGCCAGGGCTCATAGAGCGTGTAGATGGAGCGATAGGCCGTCCCGTATCTCTCCCACACGAAGATGCGGTCCTCGGCGCTGGAGACAGGTGCCGTGGGCCGCTTGGACCCAACGGCGGCCTTCACCGGCTGCGAAGGCGGCTTGGCTCGAGTGCCCGCACCTTGTCAGTCGTCTTCTGCAGCTCTGCCGGTGGAGAGTCAAATCAGTGGTCTTCTCTTTCGATATCTTCCGCCGGGCAAAAATAAAACAAACAAAAAAGGCCCATCAGCCGGATGTACCAAGCTACACAAGAACACCGGGTTCATTTTTGTGGACGTCCGAGTGGTGGGCATCAGCACAACGTCGACTCCCGAGATCATCCGAGTCGTTTTCCATAGAAAAAAGGATATATGTTCGCCTTGTTTCACTTTGAATTTGCTTAAGGAACCGGAACAACAAATACTTCTTTGTTGCACTTTGCTCAGGCCGAGTAGAGGTCCAGTGGCCTCCGGGAAAAGGAACAAAAAACATCATCCCAAATTAATCCTCTATTGCAGGGAATTCATCCATGGGGCGGAAGGGAGTCAGGAAAAGAAAAGAATCCCAACCATAGAAAACCCTGACTGTCTGGCCCCCTGGAAGATGGTTTTTTTCTCTACCAACCAGTGGGTTTTCAGGGTCCAATGGGATCGTCACCACCAGGGTGTAACCCCACCCTGGATTGAAGTGAACAGTTTCCCGCCAGCTCGTCCGGTACAGCGGCGATCGCAGGACCCTGCCTCCAAGACTTCCCCCTCCTCTGCGATGAAATACCTTGCTTTCGCCCGAGATGATGATGCTACCGGTCGGACCTCCCTATGCAGGTCTTGGGGCCACCAATCCCCGGACCGAGCATGCACTGGGTCGAGATCTTCGGTTCTTCACCCCTCTTCTTCCGTCCCCTCTTCTTCCTTGCCGAACGGTGAATCCCAACTGTCCCTTCATCCCTGGCGATACGGTTTTGTACCAGGTACCTAGGAAATCGGCCGACTAGGTACCTAGTGCCTTTGAAAATATCTGGTCCTGTCAGTGGTCCTGTTGCGATCAAGCATTCTTGGACAAGCACCCCGAGTTCCATCTGAGTAGGAAGGGGGGCACCCATGGGCACCCTGCCAGGCCTGCCACTCACTGGATTGGATGAGCCACACCACCCCGACATGCAACTGACTGGCATGCCAAGCTAAGCATGTGACCTGCCTTTGAGGAGCATTTCACGGTGCAACAGGGTGAAACCCGTGACCCACTCCAGCCTTCTCGGGGGTCCAATCCGCGCATCCAGCGCAAGAAACACACTCCCTGACACCATCATGAAAGTGGATCAGTGGAATGTCTTGGCCCCTGGAAGGCCATTTGCCTCTAGTAGAGGTGGTTTCTGTATATAGCGAACCCCAGGCCCCGGAAGGAGGGTATGTCCCACCAAGAGGCTGAAGGAGTTGTCCCACCACCAGGCCGCTGATGGACATCATCAAGCCCAAGACCACCATCGACCAGCCCAAAGTCCTAGCAGATCGACGCAGAGGATCATGCGACCCAAAGCTCCCAACAGGCCGACTGGTCACCGGTCCCTCAAAAGCATACCCAAACACTCCATGGGACTGCCATATATGACTCAAATGCTATGCACCATGTCCAGGCCAATGCAGGTTGCTTTGCCAACGGCCTGTGTGGGCAGAAGAGGAGGCTTGCGTCCAATGAATAGATATGAATAGGACAGTGCCCTCCCAGCTCCAAACAGGCCTTTACTGGTCCCTCAAAACCATGGGAATTGGTAAAGGTCCAGACCCCTGGCCCGAGGATTCGGGTACGGCCCCTGCTGAATGGAGGGTACGGCCAAAAACGCCTCAATGGAGCAGGTCCAGTCGGGTCCTCAAGCATGTCACATCCGGGTGAGCTCGCAAATGATGGCAAACCCTAGGGCTCCAGATACCTTCTGAGAAGGTGTTTAGGGTGGGTTTGGAGGGTCCAAAATACCTTCTGAGGAGGCACCTGGAGCCCTAGGCAAATGGATACAGGTCCAAGACATGCTATAGTTTTTTTGGTCCATGTGTTCTTTCGCCTTGTTTGGTGTGGGATGGAGCCACTCATTCTCAGATCATCGATGCTACTCAAATTCAAATCGAGGCTATGCCAAAGGTGATCTTGGGCAAACGGTGTTCCTTGACCTGTTCTTTGGGGCGGCCATGTCCTAAGCCTTAAGCTCCCCTAAGCTCTCTTCAGCTCGAGCGTCGGCAAGAAGGCGTGGCATGCCTTCAGCAGCAAGCGCAAACCCTGGAAGAACCTGGCGGTCGCAAACGCTGCAGGTCTGCAGGTGGTCCGGTGGCACGTCCGATGCGTGGTGAGTCTGCGTGTCTCCCGTGAATCACACCAGTGGAACTGAGAACGACATGTGCTTTCACTCCCTCTGAGACACCAAAGACTTCCAGCATGGCCCGGTTTTGTGAAGAAACTGTAACTGGACGAAAGGATTTGCTTAGTTGGAACTCGCATGAACTTGTTATTTGCGGACGCTGCATGTGACAAGCGGTTGCATCTAATCAGTCTAATTATTAGTCTAAACTAAACTACCACAGTAATTAATTAAGGTGATGGCTGGGATTTGTTGTAGCTTAGCATTTGCGGTGAGCCGAAAAGCAACCTCAAGCATGTAGAGGGTGCATTGGCCCTCAAGCATTTGAAGAAACACACATGGGCTATTTCGCAGACCTACGGGTTGGTCGGGAGTTAAGCTTTTTCAAGAAGTTAAGGTCCAACCCAGCTTTCATAGCATCAATCAAGGTGTTCCAACAACTGATCAGCTTCAAATGGGTTCAAATCATTAAATATTTTTGAAAGATCTTAACATGTGAAAATATATCCGTTCCTCTGTCTACCCCTCCCTATCGGCCGCATTTAGTGCTGTGGATAGGCCCACTGGGCAACCTGTTCCATTGTATTTGGGAATATGTCCACTTCCCAAGTGAAATTCTCATTGTACCTGGTAGTAAGGATTTGATGGCTATTGAATTGGCCAATTGGAGAGCGCAAACACCTAGAATGATTTCAGAACAGCAAGCACACTGCTATTTGTAGCCTCCAGGGCCTATACATTTTGACTTCAGCTTAAATATTTTGATTCCAGCTTAATTCGTCGGAGTTCGTCGGAGGGCAGCTTGGGGCTGTTTTCAGCTAATTTCTTCACGTGAAAATTCAGAGGCGCAAGTGCAATTTTCATTAGAAAATACACCAAACTTGCTTGTTCAGAGCTATTTTCAGGTGGTTTTGGCCACACCAACAGCCAATTATCACGAGCAAAAACTTGAAAAAACACAAGAAATTTAAGAGTTTTAAGGCCAAGTTCGTCGGAGTTCGTCGGAGTTCGTCGGAACTCCACTTTAAGCCCGACTTAGATAGGACTCAGACTCACCTGATTTAAATATATTTGATACGTAGTAATCCAGGGAAGTTTGCATGGAAGTCTTGGAAGACCTTTACAAATTGAAATTCTATCTTAAAAGTATTGGAGTGAGTCCCTCCGTCCAGAGCAAACATATGGCCTCGAAGGATCTGGCTTTTACTGCTCACTCAATCCAGAACATTTAGTGGCAGACCACGTTTGACTCACCTGGATGGATCCTTTCCTGTAGGATACCCGTAAATTGTAAAGTTTTAAGTATTTCCAAACGGAAATTGATGTCCAGCTCCCCAAAAGCCTTATTTCCATCACGCAAATGTGGTCCACTGCTTAAAGTTCTGAAAACCCTTAAGTTCCGACGAACTAAGCCTCTGCGAAATAAGCCAAACACACAGGACAAAAAAAGTCTTGAAATCAGTGGAGGACACCAACAATTGTTTGGTCACGGAGGCGCACCTTGCTTGGTCATATGCAGGAACAAAGATTTGTTAAAGACATGGGTTGATGAGCTACCGCCGAGCGAGCTACCGCCGCGTCCGCGTCCGCATTGGGGGCCAACGGAAGTAGGCCCGGTCCCCTCACATCGCACCAACGTATGGCCACTCCATGGCCACTCCATGTGTGGCAGCCATTCCCTATGATGGATCCACTGGACCCCCTCTGAGAAGGTGCCTTTTTTTGACACTTTTTTATAGGCGAAGTGAGGGCACTTGGATCCCTATAGGGATTGAGGTGGTTGAAAAGGGGTCAATGTAGGTAAATATGCCAGTAGTCGGGAGTGTTTGGGTATTAACCGTATACAAAAACTAAACGTATAGTAGATAAGATATGATATATAGAAACAAGATGAAACAAGACTCAAGCGGCTTCCCAGCACATCTCCCTGCAAAGCCTACGTGTGCAACACCAATACTCAATACCCAATACCCGTTTGCCTTCTGTTGGACCTTTGAAAAAGGGTTGGATTCTGGTTGTTGGTCGTCTCAAAATCCTTCGTCAAGCAATGGTTGTATGATGTTGTATGGAAAGGACCATTAAATCCATGATGGTTGGAATCCATTGATTTAATGGTTTGACTGAATGACCGGGCAACCATGGTTTTACAAAGGGTTTTAGACTCCAAAGCTGGGTCAACCATTGCATTTCTTTATATGATGGTCTTGAAAGGCTGACGGGTTTCCACGTTTGCTCCCTAAACGATGCTGACTCCCTCAGTGTCCCTTGAACAGGTTTACCGGTTAACCTTTTCCAGATTCCACATGTTCATTCAGTGTAGGGAGACCAACCTCCTAAAAAGGTTTTCAACTTGCGAGTTCAGTCGGTATATGAACCACTATCGCTCTTCAAACAGCTAGTAAGGGGTTTACAAAACTCCCTGTAGCTCATCAGGGAATATGGATACCCCTGGCTCCTTAGCTCCCTCCTGAGCAAAAGCTAGACGTCGGAGCCTTCCAAATGATACATCATGGCATGCTGTTCAGCTTCACTGGCTGTTTTGGCCTGTTCATGCTCTTCAGCTTCCCTAAGTCTCTTCCGGGACCCAAGGTTCCGGTTTCCCGTCTCCTCTTTCCGAACCAGCAAGCCGAGCCCAGTTGGCCCCCAGATCTACCTGTTTGGTGTTTTGCTGGGGCCGATCGGTCACCTCTCTGTCCCAGGCATCCGATTTCGGCCCCGTCGACTCGGCTCCAGCGGACCACCGACTTGAAGACCCACGAGTCGCGCGCTAGCACTCCGCACGCGGAGGAGGACGGGGACCGCCCGACCCGCCGGCGCGGAGGAGGACGGGGACGGCGCCACCTCATCGTGCGCATGATGCGGATGCTCCGCAGCGCCGAGATGGTCCGGACCACCATCACCAGCGTGTGGTCGGGCGGTGGATCCATCGAGAAGACAATCCTGGGCGGGTCATCCCATCTCGGTTTGGGGCGGAATTTCAGGAACGACTCTTTCCACCAAGAGAGGTTAAGTGACCATAAGTAGGACCCGGAAGCTGAAATATACCTATGGGATAGTCGATACATCGGGTTCTTCAACCTCAGTTGGCACTGCCAGTGCTGTCCTAGACAAATGCCATCAAATACACTGCTGGCGTTGGGACCAAGAATGGCACCCGAGGTCCCCAGCTCACTTTCGACATGTTAGGGCCCAACCCTAGAGAGAGGAGACCTGCCGGTGAGGATGCTGGTGGTTGACCTTCGTAAATAAGAAACAGGTGGTTGTTCGGTGAAAGCTCTGACGCCAATGGTAAGGCCAGAAAGGCTATGGAAGGCTACGGAATAGATCCTTTCCTCTGAAGGGGTCCGCACCTTCCAGTCGGCCGTGGTCGGCAGGGGCCCCTGCTACAAACCCCTCCATTGGTTCAGGCTCGGATTCTCAGGGCGGGAAGCTCCCAGGCTTGGCTCCCAGCTTCAACCAACTCACTGAGACAGTCGCTGCTAAGGTGATGGGCAACTTGGAGACATGTAGGGGCGGGAAGGTAGGGATTTTCAGCTCGGGCGGCATGGACATCTCTCCCAGAAAGACAGGGTGAAAAGGACCCCTCCAAATCAAAGGCCTCGTTTTACTGGGCTCTATTTTCTGCAAAACTGATAGCAAAATTCGACCTCTAAAAACTTTTCGTGGAAATGGTGGAAAGCCCGATTTTAGTCCGTAAAGGACGTCTTTTACTTTGGCAACTATAAGAAGTAAAAGACGTCTTTTACTTGGCAAATGGTAAAAGTAAAAGACGTCTTTTACTTTATGCATATATGGTGCACATATACATGGCACGATGATTGTGATTCAACATGCTGCACCAATGGCTTTCCAGGAGCGTTTTGCTCTACTTTCCGTTTCGCGCGAACATCGCACAGACAAAACATGTGTGGCAACAAGCGCATGCATATCATATAAGTGGCGCCCAGGCTGCTAGATCTTTTTAATCTGAAGCAAGGTCGATGCGTTACAACACAGACAACGCATGTGGTTGAAATTGGCCGTTTCTGGCCCGGGCATGGGACCGTGACTCTACCGTGACTCTCGCGCGACTCCCACCTAAACCACGAAGTGTTTGACGTCCTTTACTTAGTAAAGGACGTCAAAAACCTCGCCATGGACATCATTGGGCGTGACTCTAGCGTGACTATATATAGCATGGGACCTGCAAGCTTCTAATGCGATTTGACGATGAACTAACATCGGCTTGAACAATGCACGCGTGCAATTGCAAGCAGCAAACATGACTCCCACGTAGCCACGTATATCATGGCAATGTAACTGGTAAATTGAGCAAACAACGTGTGCAAAACAAATACACCAAGAAAAGATTCGCACGCGTGGACTTGCGTAAGGCATGTCGCCGCTAAAAGTGAGCGCATGGGTACCATGTCTCCGGTATGCATGCACATATGTATGTATAAGGACCATCGAACCCCAAAACATGTTCCATGGAAATGACCTTAATGCCCAAAGAAATTTGTGTGGAAGTGGTGACCTTAATGCCCAAAGAATCTTCCGTGGAAATGGTGACCTGAAAGTTTTTGAAGGTCAAAGAAAATGTGACCTCGTAAAACTGGGTGGTTTACAGCAGGACCTCGTAAAACTGGTCCTTTTGAGGTGGAGGGGACATAGTGACCTAGGGCAGGACTTGATGCCAAAGGGCAAGTCCACCACGCTGTTCAGCACCAGGAAGGTATCGAACCAGTTGGCGATGTGGAAGAAGAACTCCTAGGCGTCGCTGAGGAAGGAAAAACACAGGCGTCACTGCCGCAGTTCGGAGATGTCTTGGAGTTGGGATGAGTTAGGCTTCTGAGACTTGCCTGGTTCAATCACTGGCTGTGGGTCATGGTGCCCAGAGCTCGTTTCACTCACCCTGGTAGGTTGAACTCCTTGGTCCTGGGCATGGTCTACTCAGTTCATGTTCTGCGGTCAACCAGGCCACCCCGGGTGGCAGACCCACAGCCCACTCAAACTTGGTGGGTTTCTACACCGATCTTCACTGGCTGTCTCCGCGACGCCAGTAGTACTCACCTACTCACCTATACTCCATTCATCCTCGACCCGCGACCCGCGACCCGCTCCGCTGTCGAAGGCGCCCGTCGGTCCACGAAGACGCGCAGTAAAAGCTCGATGAAAAAGACCAGACTGATGCCATGCTCTACCCATCGAAGCGACTGGCGAGAAGCAGAACCCGAACCGAATTACAAACGAAGGGGTACCGGTCTGAAGACGAACTATACCGATGTGTTAGAAACACGGTAAGCGACCGGACCGGAAGCGGACCTGCGGATCTCGTTGTATTTGGCAGGTGTATCTCTAAGAGATATCTGAAACTACACCATCTACACCCGGCCCTAAATGTTCTCCAAGTACATTCGTTTGGAGGTGTTTGAGTGGGTGCCACAAGGGTCTGAATACCTTCTGAGCAGGTACCACCGGATCTTTTCTTTTTCGCCGGACAACTCCCTTGATGTGCGATCTGCAGGTGATGGAAGCGAGCTGGGAATGCCTAAGCTCTAAACGAGCATGTCTTTTGACCCAAGCACCCTCGGAACTCCCAGGACACATCCTCACTGCGAAACCTTCGCGGCGATGTCGGGTGTTGGAACCCTAGGGCTCCAACCACCTCCTGAGGTGGTGGTTGGGGTGTTCTTTTTTGCAGGTCTAACCACCTTCTGAGGATGTGGGACAGGAGCCCGGAACTTCACCCCACCCCCCATGGCCGCGACGACCGCGCCTGGACCGCCTGGACGTCATAGGTCTCGTCGAGCGTGCCCAAGACCAGCCCGAGTCCCTGCCCGGTCCACTCCAACTGTGCGCACCTGCCCCGGGTCGGGTGGCCAGGAACATGGCCAAGAAATATCAAGACAACCTGGAAACATCAAGATAATCTATATATACACCATTAAATTTAGGGATTTATATAACATTTAATGGTGAATCATATCATTCGAACTCCTGATAGGCTCATATACATTTCAGAGACCAAGACCGCTTCCCAGCGTCATCGTCCCCTTTGGAGGTCAGGTCTCGTCCGGTCTCCATGGTCCAAAACAGCACCGTCACCAACGGCGTCGACCGCATTTGGGACAGACCGAACCGGGTGTTTCAAAGGCCTTGTACCACTCACCCTGTCCCCGAAAACTGTGCGATGGCGTATGTTGCAATGGCGTCACACCCATAAATTTATCGTATGTGTATAGTAACTGTGTTTTGGGCAAACTGGGGGACATCTGTTGATGGGAAATGCCTTGCAGAGGTGTAGAGGGCAAGAAACATGATGAAAACACTTTGAACAATGCAACCAGAGACTAGACGCCGACCCTGTTGCCTGGTTGTCGTTGAGACCAATGGTGATGAAGAACTTGTTCAAATCCCAAAAGATGCATGGCATGAACGTGGGGCAAGCGGGTAGGATGAAACGGTAACGGCAAATGTTTGACCATATGCCAGGGGCCCCTACGGGGTGATTAATGGACACCTCATAACCTCAAAGGAGCTATTGTTGGACACCCCTTAGGGGCCCTGGCATTTATACATATATATATATACATCATAATTATACATACATTCATCAGATCAGGCACTGTCAACTGCTGCTGGGAAAACAACAAACATCTCAGACCTCTTCAGGCAGGGACAGTTTAATATGTTTTGTGCAGTGCATACCGGTGCATTGTTTTGACACTGTCTTGTCATCCAAGACTGCTCCCATGAGAGGTTCCAAATCCACACGCTCTCCATCTGAGTTGCAGGAAAAAAACAAATCAGCCCCCATCTGAGCAGCTCAGGCACATGACGCAGAAGTTCAAGGTCACCAAAACTCCGGCTGCATAGTCCAAATGCCTCCGCGCCACAAAATCCAAAAGAATGCTTTCACCAGTCCCACATCACAGGAACAAATCCCACATCATCCCAGTAATCAGAGCATACGCTGAGCATACAGCATGAACCAAAGGTCTTGCTAGGATACCAAACTCATGGACTCCGGAGCTGGAGATCCCTGGAAGATACCGAACTTTTTACCCATACACTCCATGGGACTGCCATAGATGCCGCCCCATTGACCCTCCCCCAAGACCAGCAGATATGACAGTCCACGCCCTCAAAGTTCCGACGAACGTGACGACGAACCTCCGCCCAAGGCACTGGCGCAAGTGGCTGTGCTGCTGCAAGTCGATGACACTTTGGGATCGATCGAGACCATGTGACTCCTGCAGCCCATGCTGTTCTTGCTTCGCGAGGCTGTCGGGCGAAGTCAGTTGATCCGCCGTTTAGGGAGGGTCCCAGGGTTGGCCTGCCAAAGGCTGGGTTTGGTCCAGCTGATCTGAAGGAATACAATAGATGGAAAAAAAACACAGGCAGTCTATTATTAACACTCTAGCTTATACAGTCTATGTTTAGATTTGCTCCAAGAAATGGGGGGAGTTTGAAGCAGGTATTCAAAGACGGTGCACCGTGACGACTGCACCAGTTAGGTATTTAAGCCTTGATTTACCAACAAAGGTTGAAAGATGTTGAAGAACCCGACTGCTTCCAATACTATATATTTAAACGCCGCTCATGGGTCATTTTTTTTGCGGTCCCTGCGGGCTCAAAACGGGAGTCCAACAGTCGAACCCCACGGCGTCGACCGGTCGAAGCCGCTTTTCTCGTCGTCCCAGCGTCGTTTTGGAACATGGCCATCACGCCGCCGATGCCTGACCGGCGCGCCGGTGCGGTGGCGCGCAGCTCAAGAGGCGGTCGGAGCCTTGTGTCCAAGCCATGAACAAAGGGACGCTGAGGGACGGTGGTCTCTCGCTTTGAAGTGGAAGACAGGTGGGGCTGGTGGAACGCGTAATTCCAATGCCAAGAAGATGCGTGGATATGGTTGAAACCGACCATTATTATCATTATTCCATTTCTTTTTACATACCCCGGGTGTCTTAGCTTTAGGCGTAGATGCCAGTCCCATTCGTGTCTGGGATTCCAACGGCTTCTTCTCCCTCTACCCACCCCTCCACCCTCCACGACTTCAGCCACCCTCAACCTTCCAAGTGGCTGGACACCGAGGCAGAGGCCATGTTCGGCGAAAAGGAGCGCCAAAGGCTCTTGGGAGTCCTGGGTGGCCGGGCCGAGGGCCGGTGAAACAAAGAAGACCCATTCCCAGACACCATACAGCGGCGACGCTGAAATATCCTGAAACCACTCCAAGGTTTAACTATCACTTATAGTCGATTCATGTCGATTCTATGTCACCAGCTTCGGATGGCGCATCCTGCGTTAGAGCCACACATCCGACGGGAACTTGATTTCGAACAGAACATCCTGATATCCAGGTCAGGCGGGTCAGGCCGCTGGCGGCTCAATCCAGCCCACCAGCTGAAATCCTTTCGCCTGGTCCGATGGTCTACCGGTCGTCCCCACTTCGCTGCTCCGCTGCTCCGAGGCGAGAGGAGCGTTTTGACGTCCCGATGTCTAGAGACCAAAAACGCCCTGCACATCGATCGCCAAGACACAACTCCGATGGGAACCTGAGAGAACGTGGCACATGTGCCGGGATTCTACCATTGTCACAAGGGCACTACTGGTAGCAAGGACGCTACTAGCTAAGGGCAGTCCTACTAGTAACAAGAAGCTACGAGTAACAAGGGCATCGCTACTAGTAGCATTTGCCAGGACTTTCAAAATACTCCTTGGGGATTCTTGGGGCCAGTTGCGGCATAGTAGTCAACCATCTCATTCAAATCAGCTTTCCCTTCACCAGATCCCCCTCCTCCAAAAAAACATAGTGTTTGTCAGTATTTGTTGTTTATTGCCCTACGGGTCATGCAAAAACACTACTTAATGAGGTACAAGACCAGGTTTTATTGGGTCAGACTGGACTTGTATAGGGTTTTATTGGTTGTCTTTAATTACTCCATTTGATGATTGTCCTACCATGTCCTACATCCCTCCCTCCCGTGACGTCTTCATGTTTTGGAACCTCATCTTTCAACCCGGGCGACGAACAGCGAGCAAGCTGAAAGGCCATGTTCGACATCCGAGTACCAAAAACACAAGTGCCTGGACCCCTCCAGTGAGTACCTTAGAACATGGGACATGACATGACCCCATGGGTCGACTTAACAAAACTACGACGGAGGTCCCCCATACCTCCGAGGCATCGGGTCGACTCCGGGTGGTTTTGATGTCTTGATCTCCCTGGTTGGTATGTCACCGTCTTCGGACATCACCCGGGCGACCTGACCTGACTGCGACCGAGGTGGAGGTCGCTCGGTCGCGCGTTCGCGTCGTCGCGGCTTCAGATGGAAGCCTGGTGGGTCTGGGAACCAGGATGTCATGCTTTTGGATGCTTTTGGTCTCAGTCAGGTCACCTGCAGGTCCGATGAAATGAGGAGTGTGCGGCGCCCACCCCTTGCAAAGGGTGGGCGCTTCGAGAAGCTGGGTTTGGATCATGGAATATGTGCTCCAAACCTTGGGCAAAAAACTTTGGTCCTTTGATGAAAACGCATCTGCTTTAGACGCAAGTGGTGTGGTTGGTGGGGTGGTGCAGGTGATGATGAATCATCCAGTCCATCTTCCAACACCGAAGGCTGGAAGGCTTCCCTCCACGGCACATGTTCGGCGATGAGATGGGTGAGGCCGCACCCGCCTGACCCCACGAGCCCCCCGCTCCGCGGGGATGCACTGGGCTGAGAGGAAGATCTGTAGGACTTCGGGGGGCAAAGGGGGGATGTGCATGAGACCTGGATCTTCCGCGTGCTGAAGCCGTGCCTTGGATGCTGAACAATTGCGTGACCTTCATCCATCTTCATCCATCCAATCAGTCCAAAGGCAACCATTTTGAGTTGGAAGATCCCAGTATAAAGTGACCTGTGTCGTTTTCGGGTCGCACGCGGAACAGTGGCGACCCTCGCGCAAGAACCAGGTGACCAGGTCGCCATCTTCTTGGTTGATGTCCGTCCAACCCAAACACTCAAGCACGCATCGTATCCAATACCAGCACCTTCCAACAGGTTGTTTGGAGACCCTAACAGGTGGTTTCTGGGCACCTGTTGTCACCAGGAAGCACGGACCTGTTGGAGGGTGCTGGTATGGATCTGAGGATGTTGCTGATCTACAGCAACTTCCTTCGGTGGTTTCTTCGTGGACCACAGGCGGAGGAGAACACTTGATGGAGGGGCCATCTCCTGCCCCAACTGGCAATGGATTGGTGTGAGGGAACATCTGCAGGAAACCATGGCTTTTCACCCTCGAAGCTATGGGTTTCTTGTAGATGTTCCCTTAAACCAATTCTGGGAAACAGGTGCTTCGTTCTTGTTTCGTGTGGCTTGAAATCTTGAACAGCTTGTGAAATGCTCCACTTAAACAAGAGCTGAGCTGGTCATCCGTGCAGGGCTCAATGGAAGTGCACCCATGAGTTCTGGTCATGATCGATTGGCTTGGGGAACATGATGAAATTGATGAATCTAGTCTATTCCAAGAGCTGATGACTGGATGGATTGCTTCCTCTATGGTCAATGACCTGGGATGTGATCAATCATCCTGTGGATCGTCTTACCACTATCATTGCACTCGGACCAACATGGAAGCGGAAGACGTGCTTTTTAAAGGAAAGTCCTCTTGCAAAAGGCATCCGTTTCCACTGTCCAAGTTATAGCAAAGTGATCCCCAAATAGATAGTTGGCACGGTATCCAATACATTTTTAGGGGGAATCTACTTTTGTATCTTTTTGATTCTATCTGGAACTATTTGATGGTCTATATAAGTCAAAGCATACACAGAATCCCGAAAAAGGTCGAGGTTCCCCGCGATACACAGGTTCCCCTTCAGCACGGCCAGGCACGGAGTTTGCATCGATTCACATCGTTTCATCACGGATGTCATGTAGAATCTGTATGAAGAGAAACAACTCACCCATTTCAATTGCAACATATTGCAACACTCTACAATGATCTTACCACCTATTGAAACAAAGGGGAGTTCATCTTTCTCCTTCCCCAGCGGGTGCCAATCGACCCCACCAGCGAACGCGGCACCTCGTGCGGAGGCGCTCCAGGCGACCCTTCAGCGCCGGGCTCCTGTTAAGGCGAGCTACTAAGGTCAGGGGCTGCCGACCCGCCCTTGGCCTTGGAGCCTCGCCCTTGAGGCAAGGGTGATGGGTCGTTTTGACCAAGAGGAGTAGAATTGCAGTGGACTGGGCCCCCCAAGCTCGGTAGTGGTGCGAGGTGCCAATGCTGCTTTGAGGTTTCACTTGTAGACTCTGGATGAATCAACCACCCCAAAGCCTCTATATAAGAGGTTTCACCCATCCATGTCGAGGGAGGTGGATGAATCAAGGGTCTATATGACCACGCTAGGACCGATTGCATGAGTTGAACGGTGATTTCGGGTGTAGCTTCAAGCCCCGTCGTAAGGCAGTGCTCCAACCCCCCAACAATCCATGGGACTGGAATATCTACCTACATTTTTGAGGGGTGGTTTTGAGACGTTTGAAGTTTGAAAGGCCAATGAAGGATCATGAAGGCACATATTCCAGACCCGTGGATTGCTGGGCATGCTTGCATTGATTCGTCTTTAGGAACATCACCGTCACCTTGTGTGTGAGAGGAGAAAAGCCCTGACCCCCTATTTCCCCCAACACTTCCATGGGACTGCCGTATCTGGGCGTTCTACGAGGTCAACTAGGCATGTATTGCAGTCTCATGGTGTCCGGGAAATGGAAAAAATCGACCCAGTGTGGAAGGGTCCCCGGTCCTGGCGCTCCAGTTGCCTTGTGAGGTGTTTCAGGTGGGTGCCAGGAGGGGTTCAATATCCTGATTTCGGAGGTACGACTGGAGCCCAAACGGGTCCTAGGTCCTAGGGGGTCTTTCAAGACTGCAGGTATATACCTTTGTAGCCGGTCTGACTCCTGTTAAGTGAAGAGCATGCCTGGACCAATAGCTTCAAGGAATATAGGACGTATGCATCATCTACTACAACACCGTTGTATATACGTTCATGACTTCATGTCAATTCAATCATACTGCACCGTGCCATGTTCATTTCTGGCATTGACATAGTCGTGCTATGCTTGAATGGAATCATAAACCAAACATGGACCAAACAAGCATGAACATCAGTGTGTCGTTGTTGTTGTTGTTGTTGTTGCTGTTGCTGTTTGTGTTGTTGTTGTTGTCGTCCTCCTCTCTGATCATGAACATGAATCTTCCTCAAGTAGCCCTGCCAAGTGTTTTAATCGTGATACTGTACTCGTGCTCAGTTCTAGCAGGGATATACATCTAAAAGATGAGCTACAGCTCATCAAAACTTCTCACATGAATGGCCGTGGCTTCCGGCATGCTCGGCTCCCATCGGAACAAAAAACAGAACAAGCTCCTTTGTTGGAAGCTCCTCAGGAAGCTCCTCCAGCGAATTCTCAGTTGAGGAGTCCTGACGGTGCCACTTTGAAAGGGTCAAAGCAGGTCTTGCATTTGCTGCCCAGGAGCCGGGAATCATCTTCCCCAGGTTTGGGGTCTTACCCATATCATAGGGATTCATACGAAAAAAAATGCCAAAAAAATCATGTCAAGCAAAACCAGGATACATGGACCCCGGGTCAATAACGCCAATGTAGGTACAGTATATATATATATGCTGTAGTCCTATGGGGTGTCCATATGTGTCACAGGAACATGGCAACACGAACTGGATCAGCACAGCGCAGTGATGCTGTCCCCTTCTTAATGTTGACCCCTGACTAATATAACTCCCTCTTCACCTGGATGGTCAGGAGCCAACATTGCCGTATACCCCATGCCAGCGGTTTAACCTGCAGGCTCCAGGCCTTTCAGCCCCTTGCCCAACAGAACATCGATCTCGTCGCCCGGCGTTGCTCACTCCGGGGAGTCGGTCCAATGCTCCGAGGATCGAGGTGCAAATCCAACAGGCTCGCCTGGCTCTCGTCCTGGGCATCGGCGTTTTTTGGGTTGAAGCCAGGTTTACGCGATGAAGAGAAGGTGCTGTTGTACTATGGAAAATTTCAGAGGTGGTTCTTAGATGTTGGGCGAGGGAATGTGATGTTGAGTAGCTGCAATAATCTTCAATGTAATATGCGATTAGATTAGATTATTCCAATCCTTTAAGATATGGATCACCAGCAGTACAAAGATCCCGGATCCTTTCATGCACACACCCTGTTAGGGTCTTGAGCCTTGAGCCAGACATTTTTGTGCCCCAGCAGCCCAGGGGGGTCCAACTAACGATAGAACTTTAATATTTATATATAGTTGTTGAAAAACTAAAACATCAAACAAAAAGTACCAATTGGTTCTATGGCTCTATATGACTACTCAACAGTCTTATGCTGTGAAGACTTCCCTCTCAGGCAAATTCTCCCACTGGGGAGGGAACATGCTACTTTCCCACGGCTACAGGCCCAGTGGCAGACACCCGACGTGTGCCACATGTAGGGTCTTGCCTCGCAAACAGCCGCGGCCATGCATTGACCATGTTGGGGCAGGCGCCCAGCCGAGGTCATCCCATGCCCAACATCTGACCCCCTCACTTGCCTGGAACATAAGGGTTAACTGGGTCAACCAAGCTTTCCACCTGTTTGATCTCTCCCTGAAAGACTTCGTGTCTTAAAATCCCTGACACGTGTTGTAGCACTACCGTAGACACTCAGGTCGGTGCGGTAGAAAGCTTTTCCACCTGTTTGACTTGAGTGGGGAAGCCAACCCCGAAAACAGGTGGCCAGCAGGACATGGAGTGTCAACAATGATGAAATCAATGGGCCGTTGTGCCAACAGGTTCTCTTAATTACACTCCCTGAAACAATCATGGAAGTGGAACAGTTCGGCCCCTGGAAGACCAATTGTCCTCTACTTGAGAGAGGAGGGGGTGAACGAAAGGTAGCAGGCAATCACAAGTAACCCTGGTAGAAGTCCATGACGGCGTGAACCGGCGCAGGGGTGATTTGATCCAGGGGGCCCCCCCCCCTTCGTCGAACAGAATCATCTCTTACAGGACCAAACTCAATGCACAATCCCAACTCCTGATTGTAATACATGTTTGCTAAAGCAAGGAGAACTCAGGTAGCTCAAGCTACCTTTCGTGACAAGGGGGGTCTGCTCAGCTTCCATGAATGTTTGAGGGAGGGTTATCTTTCCACGGCTGCAGCGCTGAAAAACGAGGATTCCGCCGCGAGCCCTCGGCCCAGTGAAATACATCCACGGGCTCGTGTCACCCCTACCAGCTTGGATGATGATGATGATGATGATGATGGTGATGGTGATGGTGATGGTGGTGATGATGATGATGATGATGATGATCGTAAAGGGCTATATATATATATATATAATCATGCTAATCAAGATCCAACATCTTCATCATCCAAGAAAAGCACACACACACACACACACTCCGTGTCACGGGGACCTACGAGTACTTGAGGTCCGGGTCAACCTTTCCACCTGTTCCACCCTGTCTGTCGACTAGTCGACTGACACTCATGGTTTCTTCGGCACACCTGTTCGCACCTGTTCGACGGAAATCATTCTTCATTCTTTATAAATATATATATATATATATGTCTTTCCTTTTCATAAGGGGTCAACCGTGAGGATACAAATGGAGGAAAACTGCACCTCACAACCGTTTCACACTATGCCTATGCCTCATCCGTTTCACACTCGTCCAATCACCTTCAGCACCACCCCCACCGGCTCCGGGAATGCGTCCTTGGCCTCGCGCCTTCCGCGCGGCGAAGGATGCGGCGGAGCGGGGTCCGCCCGCTCGTCTGGGCTGCAGGGACGAAGGCTCGGCACCACGGCCAGGCTCCAGCGGCGCGAAGCGTGCGAGAGGCTCGGCTCCTGGTCTGCGGGCGGTGCAGCTCGGTCCGAACTGAAGCCATGAAGCCATGGTGCCATGGTTTGGGGGGAAGTGTCCGAGTTCAGCATATAACTAGTTCTAGCTCTAGAGCCCCAATTGAGCTCTGCAAAATACGTATGATTAAACCCCTATGTCGCATAACGTTCTTACGCTCCTGCTTACGCCTTTCTTACGCGACCACAATGTGAGCTTACGCGCCACGGATGTTGAAGAAGACCTTACGCAAATCTTACGCATCTGCATTTTCACAGATGAGAACCATACTCCAAAGGGAAATGCTTACGCGAAGGCTCCTGCATGCAGGTGAGCGGGCGACAAACACATGATCACTAAGACTCCGAAGCAGAGGAAGCAAAGGATCACTAGCATCTACTTACTGGCTGCTGTAGGCAAATGAAAAGCCGGCTTACGCGAACCTTACGCCACCAAACCCTCACCAAACGGAGCCTGGCATGTTATGACATGTTATGACTGGGCTGACTTGAGAAAGGTTTGATACAGAGTGGCAAACACAAACAAGCACAGTGCACACACCTGAAACACAGTGCGCACAAATGTCAGTTCCCAAGGGTTTCAAAGCTCTCATGGTCCATACAGTTCCTTTCTTGACAAGTGTGTGCTAAGAACCTACTAATGAAAACACAACCATATGGCAAGCTTACGCAACAGCATGTCTCACAACTCCCTTACGCAACCTTACGCTCTTCAGGTTTTTGCTTACGCCCAAGTTCCATATGACAAGGCCTTTACTTAGTTCATCTTGGGAGGTTTCTTGCGGTGCTCAATTGTTCCCTGTTGATTCCTATTGCTGGGCTCGTTCCTCTGTGGCTCGCCTCTTTTCTACCCAGTTCGTCGCCCGGGTTTCGGTATGGAGCCACCAGAATATTGAACTCCCCTACAGGCTTCCTGACCCACCATTGATTTAAGTCTGAATCCCGAAGAACAATCAGTTGACTCTAGGGTGATAGACTCCAACATCAGGTCGACCATTTTTCTTGATGTTCAACGATCTTGGAAGGCTAGGGTAACACAGCTATAGTCAGCTTGTTGTCTGTGTTGTGTTTTGGCCGATTCTGCAGGAACTTCTGTCCATCTGCCGGTGCCAGCCTGTCATGTCTCACCTCTGAAACCACTGTCACATTCACCACCCTGGCCTCTATAGGCCACCATCCCGATTGTCCGGTCCGCCTACCCGTCGCTCCTCCCATCGCGAGCGCTCCGTCGAGAGCTTCACCGCCTACGTGCGCCGGGGCAGTGGTCCACCCAGACCGTCGCAGTGGTTGTGGGGCTGCTTACCATAAACCCAACACACCCGCGGACCTGGCCAGGTCAGCAATTGAGTTAGGGGCAACAAGCCTCAATCAACTAAAGGCCCGTTGGAGGGTCCTGACATGGATTTTGCCAAGAGACCAAGACAATATGCATGTGTTTGAACCCTAAATGGTGGACTAAGGTGGACTATAGGCATATCTGATCACCAATAAGCATACCTTTGGGTCTCGTGGGATGTATGCATTAAGCCTTGAAACCCACTCCAATGTCATAGGTAAATATGCCGGTCCTACGGAGTGTCTGGGATAGATATCCATAATGATGAGTACACAATCACATTCAATCACTCTGTAATATCTTAATGTGGACTCTTGATTCTAACACGAAAGCCACTTGGCAAAACGTGGTCTCCGCGGAACTCATCGTGAATGCATCTTACAGTGTGTCAGGCCTCTTCATATGGGGAGATTCATCCATCAAAGGTCTACCCCCTAAGAATCCCTCCCTGACCTCATGGCAGGGGGTCGGACCCGACACCTTCGCAGGGCTCCGGACCCTCAAGACCCTATCCAAAGGTCTACAGACCAAGGCGCTTTCGGACGGGTCCAACCGAGTCCAACGGACTGGACACATGCACAAGGTCGGTGGTCGGTTCAGGGGCACCGTGCAACGTGCTGAGCAACACTGGAGTTGTTCACCAACAGAGGTTAAGTGACCTTATAGGACCCTACAGATAGTCTATAGGCTTCTTCAACCTCTGCTGGCAGGGGGGATTTCATGTCCAAAACATCTCAAACACCGCTCAGCTTCCACGTCCCGGGCCTCGGAGGCATCAGGAACGAGTTCCTCGCAGAGCTCCTGGAGGAGGAACGAAGCAGATGTGCGCCCCAAGATGTTCCGGCGCCCACAAAACACACACGCACACACGCCACATGAGTGGTTTCAAAGACTAACTTGAAAACATTACAAAGGTGTCTGTACGTAGTGATACAATGGTGATAATTATAAATAATGCAGGTCTTTGAAGTAGTGGCTGTGGAAGTTACTGGGGGTGATACCTCAACAGCAGCTCCAGTGGCATCACACAAGTCCATCCCAAACAAAAACTTGATGGGACTCGGATGGTTGATCTGGGGCCGGTCAGGGCTACCGTCCATCGGTCTCTCTTGGGTCTATCCCATTCTATCTACCAGGGCCCTGCTTAAAGGCTTAGGTCGCAGGCCTTTCCATCTCTAAAATTGGTGATTTGCTCGTGAACCCGACGGTTCGGCTCTACAGAATTCCAACAGAGCTTGAAGGACCCCAAAAAAAAGCCTATCCCAGTTGGGTACCCCAGGTTACGGTCCGAACGTTCAGGTCACTGGCCACCTCTCTTGGTCTGCTTGAACCTGGGACGTCGTCCCACCGGTGGGCATTGGTCTCTGGGCCACCCGTCCTGCACTGAGCGAAAGGTGCTCTGCACTCCTCGGCTGTCTCGAGACCCGCCGGCGGTGTCGGTGTGGACGTGGTGAAGACCGGAAAACCCCAGAGCTGCGGCTCTAAAATGGATGGAATAAGGGTGGTAACATGTGGAGAACCATTGACAGTCCGACCCCAAATCAAGAAAAACCCCAACTGATCGGGACTCCTATGCCAGTCTTATGGAGTGTCTGTGAGTGGATGATGATGGTGTTTTGTATAAAATGCAACGACTTTGGCTTGTTGGCAACACCCGCAGCAAAACAAAGTTGGGGTCCAGCCATAGCCCAAACTGGGAGACAAGCTAGCTACGGGGAGTTCTATTAATCACAAGTCTAACTTGGGTCTATCTCCAATAACAGTCCCAAACACTCCATGTATGCCATATATGCCTACATTGACCCCTCAAACCACCCCAATGTAGGCATATATGGCATACGGAGTGTCTGGGAGTGGATGATGATGGTTCAATTGGCCAACATCTCCAACATGATTTGCTGGTGAAACCCGACCGGGACGTTGCAGCCTTGCTGGGACACACGTCAAGCGAAGACGTCAAGCGAAGACCTCAAACATCTGAAACGCTATAGACTCTGGCGTTTGAACCTCCCCGCTCTCGCTCTGAGTGACCCGGCTCCCAGTCTGAGACCATGGGGTGCCGACCAACAGAGGTTGAAGAACCCTATAGACTATCCTATAGGTACCCCTGTAGGGTCCTATAAGGTCACTTAACCTCTGTTGGGACCCGAGCCGTCGCTCCCTCCGAATCGTACTAGCAAGTTTAAAAAGACCAACGTATTATATTCCAGAAGTCACAAAGGGGTGCGATCCATGGAGGTTAGGGTGCCCGTTATCCACTCACCCAGGGGCTAAACACCACATGGTCAAAACTTGTTACATCGGATTTCAAGCTCTAAAGTGCGCATGGACCCCCCTTTGGTGACAATATTATTTAAAAAAAAGGAACAACAACTTCCGCAGGGACAAAAAAACACAACATATACAAAATGGTAGAACAATGACCAAGCGTCAACGGGTCCTGTCGACCGGAAACATAAGACTTGCCCTCCCATCCGACGTCCTGGTGCCGATCCTCAGTTCCTGCCAATCTTTCTACGGCTGATCTGCCAATGGGGGAAGACTCTCATGGCCAAGCATCCATTGCACCAGTCAGAGTGATGCTGCTGGGCCAGCCTGATGGACACAGCGCCCATGCGCAGCGCTGTCTGTAGGAACGCACTATCTGACGATCGATCCAAAGGAATTCTGCCGTTTTGAAACGATCTTCCCACTACCAGGACCCTCCTGTCGGGGTGCCCTGTCTGGAAGCCGAACGGCCGGTAGTGTGGGGTAGTTCAGCCAGGACACCCCGACAGGAGGGTCCTGGTAGGTGACCATAGATTTATGATATGCAAATGGTGGTTCGAACCCATGTTCGAAACCTGTCTTAAACCAGCCAAGTACATGGCAAACATGTTGCAGAGTTCAGAAAATCCAGGTATAGCCTCGATTCAGGTAGATTGTAGACTCTTGATTGATTTAAAACGCATTGTGTACAACACCTATACATATATACATGGATCATACATACCCTAACAAGCCGGGCCCTGAAATAGGAAAGGGTCAGGATCCGGACCGCTATGGGAAGTCCCACCGCGGCTGCACCGCTGGAGCGCCCTTAGGGATTCTTAGGGAAGAGTCTACATTACGAAGTTACTATTACTATTGTGAAGCCTCTACACATGGATCATCATGGATCTTTATTAGTTAATCAAGAGTCTACATCAAGTCTTCGTAGTATATATGGGTTTAGTATTAATTATAAGATTATTAGGGAAGAGTCTACATTATCATTACAGAACTATTGTTATAAATCAGTATGCACATATTGTGAAGCCTCTATATACATGGGTCTATCTTACATGTGAAATGGTGTTTTTTTTTTCCACCGCAATCCTGCCATTCAACCACATTGCATCACCATCAGGCAGGACCTCGTTGATATTCATCAACACTTTGCCACACACTTCAGGTCCTTGAAACCAACAATCACACGGGGAGCACCGACTGTCTGCGTTGTTGAACTCACCAGTTCCCCCTCGAAATTCACTTCTCCAACAACTCGGATCGGAAGACTTCACTTCGACCTCCCAACCTGAGCAAGTCTTCGCGTGCCGCCCGGAGCCGCAGCTGCAGCCGTTCATCCATCGGCGCCACGCCGTGATCCGCTCGACCGGACGGCGGGCGTCGCGGGCGTCGCGTGAGTGGGTGGATCTGGAGTGGCTGCGGATCTGGTTTTCTGGAGCGGGTGAAGTAAAGGAGGTGTTGCACTGTGAGGTCTTGTCCTTTGGTTGTTCTATGTTTAGGACATCTCTGCTTAGGAGGTTCTGAGAACCCCAGTGCAACAATTGCAACCCTATGGGACACCAAACGCCAAGCTATATAGGTAAACAATACCACATCCACCTAGTCTAGTAGTAGACAACACCCCGGTCTCAAAGGTTGCACGCTGGCTCTCAGTCTAACACCGTGAGCGCGGCTAACACGACAGGCGACACACGACAGGTTCGTAACCAGTGGGTGGCGCCACTGTAAAGAACCATATGTCCTCTATCCCTAAGGCTCCAAGTACCTTCTGAGAAGGTGTTTGGGGTGGGTGCCAGGAGGGTCCAAATACCTTCTGAGGAGGCACCTGGAGCCCTAGGGATCATGATCCTGCCATGCATGACAGAGATTCCAAAGTGCATCCGTGGAAACACACCCAAATGGAAATTGAAATTGTGGTCGGTGAGTCTTCTACTTGCGTGTTAGTGAGTCAAATGTTTATAAACCAGTCTAACATCTAAAAATGGTCACGTTCCTCGGCGAGCCGTTTTCCACCGAAGATATGAACGCCTGGGGGAGGGGTTCCCTGCAGTGGTTTTCTCCCCATGTGTTTGATGCTCGAACGGATTTCTTGCTGCATCTATTGTCTCCTTGACCTGGAGACCAGCAAGAGGAATTGTTACAAAAGGAAAAGTATAGACTGAAGCGCAGTGGTTTAGGGTCGAATTGTGTTGCTCAGACCTTCCAAACATGACTCTATACCTCTCTGAATGAAAGTCTGACACATCGACATTATGACGACATGCTTTGTTGCATGAGAAGCCGGGAATGTACAATGCTTCCTCCGCCCAATAGGGGTTGAAACATGACAGATTAAAGAGTAGGTTTCAGCCGATAGAGGTGCATCTGCATGCCCATCAGCCTCACTTGAACAAACGGATCAGCAACGTTAAAGGATTCCAAACCCCACTTCCAGCCCTGCGCCCAGTGCTCTAATTTGTTTCTTTGAACCACTTTGCAGCAAACCCAAGCAAAGCTCCACACTCTCCAACGAGACTTGCTCACAGCGCAACATGCGCAACGTACAACTCGCTCGGCAACCTCATAGAGGATCTTATAGCCATGACCCGCTTGCACGATCACAGCCCAGTACTGTTGACCTGCCCGCAGATTCGGAACAAGCTGGGCTTCCAGCCCAGCCATGGGTGAGGCACTGAAGAGGTCAGGTCACCCACCATGGAGGCCCACGGATGCTTCGAAAAAGCGCTGCTTCTTAGCCCAGTTCTTTCGATGGGTCTCTTCCCACCCCTTCCAGGCCAGCAGAACTGGCTTCTCCCCCGTGCCCAAAATACATCAAACATCGCAGCAGGATGATCTACCCATACCATCCATGTATATACCCTTGCGCTCCAACCATATCCTCAGAAGGTGGTTAGACCCCCCAAACCCACCCCAATCACCTTCTCAGGAGAGGTGGTTGGAGCCCTATATAGGCATAATAGTTACATGGACCCCATGAAAACAACCCTCATGTGGGTAACTGGGCCATACATTTACGGGTAGCAAAAAACACTGGGAGGCTGAGGCAAAGTTGCACACCTTCAGTTGGTGCAAGAAAACTCTTGCCACATGTTGCATCCCTTTGCATCCATAAATTGGTCCAACACTGCCCTAAATGAACACCTTAAGAAGAGTCCATCTCAAATGTTCAGCTACCCTGCTCCACCTTGTCAACCCCTTTATTTTGTAACTATAGATTATATACCAGGACCCTCCTGTCGGGGTGTCCAATGGACTACCCCACACTACCGGCCGTTCGGCTTCCAGACAGGGCACCCCGACAGGAGGGTCCAGGTATATATCACATTATATCACTGCAGTTTCATGTTCGCACCTGGTCACTTCATCTTCGCGGAACCGTCGTTCCGAACCCGGCCCCCCACAGCGGAGGTCCGTGGTCTCCCCAAGAGCGCCGGTCGTTCCTTCCTCGCTGTGGCTCACCTGTCCCGGCAAAGTTGAGCTGAAGCTCATCCCCTGCGCAGCAAACAAAAACGCTATAGACACGTGTCGCAAACTGAGAGGTGACCTTTCCAGGGAATACATCCAATGCGGCCTGTTTTTGTTCTAGAAGGTGATTTTAGTTGATCATCTGCTGAGCTGAATGATGCCATCCAATGCCCCTTGCCTGCTGGGATGGGCTTACAAATTCTGGGTATATCCCACTACCAGTAACGGCGGATTATGATGGTTACTAAAGGGCTTTCTGATCAGGATGTTGTAGGGCCTACCTATGGTCTTTTCCTTCTCAGCCCTCTCCGTTGAAGCATCCATGTCATGTCGCGGACCGGGTCGCGCCTTCGGCCGAAAGGACCTGGGGAGGCTGAGCCCTTGGTGATGGGGTAGTGCGAGATATGGCTGAAACCTGGAACCTCAAACCCTGGTGACCCTCGGCCTCCCTGGTTGTTCTCTTCATGTTCCGTGGGGCAACGTTGGCATCTCCAACTCCCAGGTACAGCCCTGGCGACCGGGCCTTGGCGCTGGCTGGTATCGATCTGTTGGTCAACCCAGGTCCGTTCGTTGAGCCACAGCCCCAAACACTGCATGGTTCACCGATCAGTTGTCGTGGCTGACAAAGGTGTGAATGTGTGGGAATATATTCCAATCCCATGGAGTCTGGGGATTGTAAGGGGATGTGCCTTTTTGGTCCCCTCTCTCTCATCTCTCATCTCTCATCTCTCTCTCTCTCTCTCTCTCTTTCTCGCTCTCTCCGTGTCTCTCTCTCTCTCTCTCTTTTATTACATATCATATAACCTGCATAATCTGTCCACGACTCATGTTGAGCCAAGAGTTCTGAGAAGAGCCCTCTTAGCCGCGATTTAAGGAGGCTAAGCCATGTTCCAATTCGATCATTAGGACATTACCCTGTCTACCGATCCCTTCGCGCATGTGTTGGGGAAGGCATCCACTGAAGAGCTGACGAACACTTCACACTGTCCATCGCCTGGATTCGCTTCTGGAGAGCGGGAAGTCTTTCAACGGGGCTGGCCACCCAAATCCACCAAGTTCGGGAAGCTCGAACGAAAACCCACACAACCCCCAAAAGGAACATCAACAAAGACTGGCAGCTTCGGGAAAACAAAAAAAAAACGACAAACTGTGTCTGCCTAGCACAAGAACTGAGCTCCAGGGCAGCTCCGAAGCTGAAACTCAGGAAAAGCAGGCGCGCACCCTGGGCGCTGGCCGTTTCCGATAAAGACTTCATGCGGTCTTGTCACTGTTTAAGCTTGTTGACCTTGCTCATGAAATTGACCCTTTCGCATGGCTGAGCCGCTTGTTCAGAGCTTCTTCAGTGTTCTTTCTCATTGTTGAAGTCAAATCCGAAAAACAACACTCAGCGCTGCGGCGAAAACATCACGCTGGGACACTCCGGCCTCAGCTGGGCTGGACCTTAGTCGTGTGGCATGGCGGGGGGGGTCCGGGAGGTTCTCAGGGGCTCTACAGGGCAAGCAACATAACTGTATGACCTGATTTTGTAGTGCGAAAAAGCACAAAGTAGAACGATGGTTGTTCGGGTAAGAACCATTGAATCAATGGTGGTTGGAATCGTAGGGATAAGATGTATCCCTGTATCCCTCCAACGTCCTCATGGAAGTGGAATTGCATGCCCATGGAACAACTATGCTCCGAACTACAACGAAGGGTTTGGCCACTAGCATTCCTCCAACAGGTCTCCTTTGAAAGGTTGTTAGGCCTTACGAGGTCTCAATGGTAGCAGCGCGGGTGCTGGTATTGGAATCCATTGGGCGACTTGACGGCTGATCAGAAGGACCAGCCCTTGACCTGCTGGTCGCCATGGTCGCCATGGTCACCTCGCAGCATCAACCCCCCAAACGCCAAGCCTATTGATCTAGATACCATCTAAGAAGGTGCTTGGACACTTGGACACTGAGCTTTTATGACTCTTTGATGTACGCTCTCCGAAACAAACCATGGAAGTGGAGTTCACCACCTGCTTGGTATGCGGCAAACGGTCATCCTTTCGAGGTTACGTCATAAAAGCATGATTGTGGGAGTGTAGGTGGGAGGGTCCAGCCGTACTGAACCTGAGAAGCCTTGCCCCCAACACCAACCGCCAACCACCCCAGGCGCTGAAACCCTCCGAGGCGCTCCAGGAACCTCAACGCCTCCCGCCGGAAGTCTTCGGCCTCGGATGTCTTTCTGGCTAGGCGGTAAGACTCTTCTTGCTTGAAAGCCTACTCCAAAGACTTGTTTCCCTAGCAAAAGGTCCTGAACCGCCCAAGGTAGGTCGCACACCTCCTGAAACTGGTTTCATAGATCTCTGAATTGGGATGGATCCAGTCGAGTTTTTCGAGACCCCGGGCACCCGGGCACGTCAACTGAGAAGACCTCCTCCAACCCCCCTGGGCTCCCTCACACCGCGTCCACTGGGCACCACAGCAGCCTTAGTCGAGCTGGTGCACTAGTTGGCCCCGCCCCCTCTCCCAAACAACAAATGATGGGATTGTATAACACTGTGATAAAAAAAAATATGCAAGATTGAAAACTACACTGTATAACAACACTGTGATTGAAAACTACAATTCTCTACAGGTTGCCGTCATGCTCTGTGTGACCAAGAACGCTGTGTTTGTGTAAGGACAATAGACAATAGTCTGAAACACTAGTTCAACTGGACACATGTCATCAAATCATTAAGATACTTCCCCTCCCTGCTTCAACCGCGAGAGTTCAACTGCCCACTTTTGCGAATGGCATGAGCTGTGAGCTCGCTCGCTGTGAGGTGCGGCAAGCACCAGGAGTGACCCCAGGAGTGACCCGGGTCGTTTGAGTCTCGGTTGTGTTCGCGATCTCTTGGACCAACCACCCCAAAGATGGCCAACTCCTAACACAACAGTGGACATGTTTGTCTTCTGGCGGTCCGTTCAGAAAATGCACCATTGGCGCCAACATCGTATCTAATTGACCTCGTCGTTTCTCACACATCAACGACTGAACGGATGCTTTTGACCATGTAATCATGTACTGAAATGGTAAGTTCAGGTCACGATGCAATGCCGAGTTCAGGTCACAACTCTGCCCGCGTGGATGGCACTTATTGAAGCTCCAAACTGCTTGGTGGATACCGCTGAGACTTGTCATCCAAGAAAGTAGAAGAATGGAGCTGTGGGACAAATGGACATATGGTCCTTGAGTTAGTCCACATGGGTCCTCAAGCGGGGCGATGGGAAAGAGATTCAAGAATCCAAAGAACTGCAGGAACAACTTCTTCCATGTGAGTTTTTTGGGATGAGTGTAGGGGCCCTAGTAGCTTCTTGTTGCTACCAGTAGTAGCTACTTGTTCCTAGTAGCACGGCCAGGGTCCTTGCTCCTAGTAGCGATGCCAGGAGCCCCTAGTAGCAGTTTTTGGGATTGTAAATCTCCACAGCAGTCCTGAGATTCGCGCCATCATTCATGTGACTTTGTGCATTGTCCAGTGCTTTCAGCGCTCGTCGTGTCCATGCGGATCACTGGGGGCCAGGATGGAAACGGCATAAGGGTTGAGGACATGTCAAGGCAATATGCACCTTTGTTCATTCTACCCCTAGGGATCCAGTCGTACCTTCTCACAAGGCACTTGGACCCTCCAAACCTACATAACAGTGTCTCCAATCACCGTACCTGAGAAGGTACTTGGATCCCTTAGGGTACCTGTATATACACTCCCCACAAAGGCTTTACCGGTGCATGGAGGGACCGAAGAGCGGCCCATTTCGTACATGGCTTTTCGTCAAAACCTGGAGCTCGGTTGATTGGAGGTAGGTTGACCACGTCCAATTGCATAGACCCCCAAATAGCTAGACAAGTCAATTGCCACTGAAACATGTCTTGGAAACCGTGCAATCCGGTCATCTGTTTGGGGACCACGGTCAAGTCTATTCTGCTCATGTGCGGGGCGACACAAAAACAAGGTCCCTATGGATGCCCCTGGTTTTGACTCACAGCCGCCAGTGCGCGAACCCAAAGAGGTCACAGAGTTCCGGAGAAGCTGCACACTGCAGGAGAAGTGGCTGGGAATCCCTGAAGTATGACAAACCTGTTCTTTTTGATGTGACGAATGTATTGGGACAGGTTTGTTCAACAGATTGTTCTGTTTGATTGGTGATCGAATGGTGATCTTTTTTCTGAACCCCGCCGGATTTGATGCGCCGACACTTCGCATGGCCCAGCGGTCACAGGAGAGCCATGGAGAGCCATGGTACCTCGAAGTTCGCATGAACATACTTATGCCCCATGTTGAGGTGGTTTATGAACCTCCCCAATCAACTGGAGGATGGGCACTCCAGTTGGGGGGGATTCCTCCACCTCGTTGACCAACATGCACGGAACGTCGAAGCGAGAGACGGGTCAACGCCGAAAACCGATCCTCGTTTTGGGCCCAAACGGTGCTGGTTTTGGTGCCAGAGCAACAAAGGTTGAAGAACCGTATAGACTCTCCCAGCTGGGTACCCCAGGATCCTAGTTCAGGTCACGTTCCACCTCTCTTGGAACGTCAGCCAAGTCTCACACGTCAGCAGTTTCAGGGGTGGTGATAGACCCCAGTGCCAGAGTGGAGAATGATCGGCGAATCGACACCCCTTCCCACCCCCCAATTGCGCGTTCTGATTTTTCAACACGAAGCTCCCAAAGCAGCAGCTCCTGTTCAAGCTGCTGCAGGCAATCCTCCTCAAGCAAGCAGGACCCAAGTTGGCCTTCAAAACAAGAAAATTAATCCAAAACTCCTAGCGAATTCGATTCTTTCAAGTTTTGGAACCTTCATGCTCCGTGAATGTTGGGGACACCCGGCCAAAAAACCGCTCCATGAGCAGCCGGGCTCCAACCAAACAACCCTCAAACCACCTTCCGAGTCCACCATAGTGGCCTCCAAATGGAGAGAAATGGTTTCTATTACATTTCAAGTCGGGGATCTACTTGTCTATCTTTTTTGGGGGTCTATATTTTCCACCCAACCCCAGCGTCCAGCACGTCACGCTCGCCAGCGACCACCGCTGCAACCGCTGCGCTCAGCGGGCAATCCTGGACGGAGCACAAAGGGGATCGCCCCGAGCTGATTTTGGTCCGGCCCAGTGTTAGGCCCTAAGGTTTTTTCTCTGCCATGTTTTGGAACGCATTCATTCCCCAAAAGGTCCAGGTCCCAGCTCCAAACCTGGTCCTGAACACCTCATTGATGATAGTAGACTCTTGAGACAGTTAAACTTATCCATTTGGATTGGACATCCTCTTCATATGGGGGGCAAAAATAGAATCAAGAGTCTAGATTATTCCTCTGGAAAGCGCGCAGGCACTGAATCTTTTGCGATCTTTTGTTGGTCACTTATTACGTACATGATGGATACATTTCCTGGGAAAAATAACATGGAAGTGGATAACATGATGGCAACGCCCCTTGGATTGCAATTTTCACCAGCAGGTGGTTTTACACCCCAAAACCAACGGTTTCCATGCATTTTGCGCAACGGTACTTCTTGAGCGCGCCCCATTGACCCGCCATGCAGCCCCATGCGCTCCCCAGTCCAGCACCTTCTGAACTCGCGGGTCTGGCTACATCAAGTTCAAGGGTGGTATGATGCCAATTCATAGGGGTTGATATAGACCCCCAAATGGATAGAAACGTAGATCCCCACTGGAAAGCGTGCCACTATCTATTTGGAAATCTCAACCACTATGAGTGATCATGGGATTCCCCATTGAATCCCTCCTATATTTGAAGTGAGCTGCCGTCAATGTTGAGTACACTCCCACCTGTCTGACACCCAGTTCTTTCGCTTACAGTATACGAAGGTAGGCACCTAGGGAACACATGCCCAAGAGGGGTACCTATCAGGATCCCCGTTTTGGATGCCCGGTTTGCCGTGCCTACGACCGCACATCAGGTAACAAACGCACGCAACCACCGGCAAACGACCACAAGAATCTGCAAAATAACACAAAACGATCATAAAACCAAAACGACCAGAAGTTCTTGGTAGTTGGAAGGTCCAGGTAAGTGATTGTATACTTTACACTTTGCACTGCTGGTGCCAATAAACGCCGTCTGTGCCCTGCTAAGCCTCCCAAAGCGCTACGAACAAACCGAACAAACCCTTTGGCCCACAACAAATCTCTAACCTCGATCTAGCTACCCATCAGTGGAGCATGGCTTTTCTTGCCAGTTGTCATTCAAAAAGCATTCAATCACACCCTGAGGTCCTCCCCTTATGGGTTTCCTGCAAGTGTTCCCTTCAATAACTTCTGGAACAAGGCCTTCTCATCCTTCACCAGGTCTGGCAGCCGCATGCGCGCCCGCGCGCGCAAGAGCCAGGAGATCAAGAGCTGGACTGCAGCTGGTGGGGTCGCTGGCTGAGCACTCCTGGCGCGACCAAACAACACTTGCTATGGCTTCACTATCCCAAACACTCCATGTAGTGAATAGGCTTACCTTGATCCAATGTACGCAAATACGCCATCCATGGAGTGTTTGGGTATATATCCCCATTACAGGCTCATGCCCATGCGTATTTATTTTGTGGATAGGTACTGATTCATCCGTCATGCTTCAAGTCCACCCGGTCATAGTTTCAGTAGGTACACCTTGTCCACTCATGCTGAAGTTCACCCATCCCCATCTTCAACCAAAAGATATCTTCCATGAAAACTTGAAGATGGGGATGGGTGAAGATGGGGATGGGTGAACTCTCATGCTGAACTCCATGAGAACTCACCAGGGTACATCTTCAAGTGGTGTTCTTCCACTCTCAAAGTGTACCCTCCCGAAAACCCACTGGTTTTGAGGGCCCATGGCATCGTTGTCCACGGGGGTACCTCTTGGGATGTGATTTAAAACCAACGAGGCAGGGACCCCGGGAGGACCATCTACATCGGGGCCCCTGATCATGTGCTCTAATCATCTCCAATCGGCCTTGTCTGGAGGAGACCTTGCATCCCAAAACTGGGTGTTCGATGCCATTTTGTGAGGCAATTTAGGGGAAAAAAGGTTCCAACATGTGTGTGTGGGTCAGAACCTGGTGCCAAATGCTTTGACATGCAAGTTCATCTCCCAAAGTGGCCCAACATAGTTCAACAAAGTTCATATTAGTTCTGTGCAAAGATGATGTTCAAGGCAAATCCAATTCACAATTATCTGTAATAGAGCTCTGCGGCTGGTTTGCTGCTTGGCTTACTCTCCTCCGCCCACGTCGCACAGCCGTGGCTGCAGCCAATTCTTCCTGATCCACCTGAGAACATGCAAATCAAATGAGTTGAGAGGCATTGTGGCCCCCCAAAAAGGTTGCTAAGGATTGCTTGGCGTGTCACATTATATGACCTAATGCACATGGGTTCCAATACCTCACCTGTCCATGTCCAAAAAACGTTGGTGTTGAACGAGAGAGATTCTTTCATGCAAGTTTCATGCTGGTAGAAACAACTATTATTCCACATGATGTGCAGGAGCAAGGCAAACCCAAATACAGATACATAGTATATACAAATATAGTACAGTAAATCAGTAACATCAGAACACCCTTGGCTGCCAAAGGTTCTTATCTCCAAGTTGCACTGGCCAGCAATTGCGCGAAGCGCCGCAGGGGTGCCCTGGAGCTCAAGCCATCCTGCAAGTTCGGCCATGATTTCAATCAGCCCTTCCTAGAATGCCATCTGAGAAATGCAGGCTCAGCCACTGAAATGGATTCACATCAAAAGACTGATGCGAGAAGCAAGACCCAACATGGCACGATGTGCAAAAACATGAGATGGACAACTGGAGCCTATTAATGACTGAATGATTTACAATGCTGGTGTTAAAGTGCAAAACGACTGCACCCCGAAGCATGAAGCACTGTCCAGTACATGACGCAAAACAAAACATTCTTGGTTTTCTACCACAAAGTGGCCAAACAATCAAACATACCGCCGCCAAAATGTACAAAACTCATCATAAAACATGAACTCTTCTGCAGTATCCGATTCTCTCACCCTCAAAAAAAAAAAATATATATATATATATATTTGGATGTTTGTGTTCAAAACCTGTGAGGCGACGTGGTCACCAAATCCACATCGATCCACCATGCGGAGTCGAAGAAAACCGCCGAAACCGCTGTCCGGGACGGTGAAGAGGAGTGGCGTGTGGCCATCCCAACCTCAGCAAATCCAAGCTGTGTGGAGTAAACCTTTCTATGAACTTCAGTGAATTCAACCAGTGCCGTCATCGGCTTGGATGGCAAGTCAATTCATTTCAGATTCAGATCATGAAAACAAAAAAAAAGGGTATGCGTGAGTTGGAAGGGGCACCGTGGATCAACACAAGAATCTCACCCGCCCTTTCGAGGGACGCTTCTCTCTCTCTCTCTCTGGATTGCTGTGAGGGAAACCACCCACTCATTTCAGGAGAGAGGTTTCCCCAAGGACAAATCAGCACTGCCTGACAAGCATAGTTTGGGAATTCATTTGACTTGTAGAAATGACCGCCCAAGTAGAGGCACACATATATATTTTTTCCGAGCAGGCATGTTGGTTTCCAGGAGGATCAATTCTGAGCAGGTGGGACTGGGCATGGCGGAGTGTGAGTTCATGAGGCCACTGGCCGCCTCCATGACTGTTCCGTCAGTTTCCCCAGAATATGACGATTAAATAGTGTTAAGCCTTTTTTCACTTTGTTGTTTATTTCAAGTGCGGTTCGCCCAATCCCCCCACAAAAATTTTGTAGTTTACCCAGGTCTATTCCAAATCCATTGGGATGCATTGGGGCCAGGGCTTGTACCTGAGCATCCTCGTACTCTTCGATGAACTCCAAGCAGCCCCAGCTCTGCAAGACCCGCCTCGGCGCAGCAACCGGCGATCGGGTCGATCGAAACGGGTCTTGTGGTTTCCACTGCACCAGATGAGTCTATGCCACGTTCCTTGAAATTCTTCGGCGGTATGGTGGGAGAAAAGCCGCGCTCCCCAAAACCCACGGCTGTGATGGGGGAAACTAGATTTCCAATTGAAATAACCACTATAATTATCGTTTGCACTTGTTATCGCTTGTTTCTTGGTGGTACCTCTGTTGAACTCCCCACCACGACATTTCAATCTGACAAAATATACGGTGTGTATTGAAACATTATTGTTCGGCATTCTTTTTGGTAGATCATCTGCCAATATTTCAAGCATATCTTCTAGCATTATTTCAGACATTCTTTCTGGCACATCTTCTGACATTCATTCCGGCATATCTGCTAACATTATTTCTAACATTTTTCTGGCATATCTTTTGGCAATATTTCTGGCATTCTTTCTCGCATATCTTCTGACATTCTTTCTGGCATATCTGCTGACATTCTATCTGGCATATCTTCTGGCATTCTTTCTCGCGTTCTATCTGGCATATCTTCTGACTTGCGGTTGGGGCCCGGCGGGGGACACTGCTGGCGGTTGAGGTCCGGCGGGGAAAACTGCCATGCTGAGCTGGCGGTTGAGGTCCGCTGGCGGTTGAGGTCCGGCGGGGAACACTGCCGTCGGGAGCTTGCGGTTGAGGTCCGGCGGGGAACACTGCCGTCCGGAGCTGGCGGTTGAGGTTTGGCGGGGAAAACTGGCGTCGGGGTCCGGCGGGAGCAGTGCCGTCTGGAGCTGGCGGTTGAGATCCGGCGGGGAACACTGCAGTCCTACACTTGCAGTTGAGGAGGACGAGGAGGAGAAGAGAGGAGAGTCGAGGAGGAGAGAGGAGAACAGCAAGGTAGCTAAGATAAACTCTAAGAACCCTCACCTGACAGGTGGTGGAAAAATTGCTAAGCGTGTAAGAAACCCTGTCAGGGCGAAACTCATTGGCCAAATTAGTGGATATGCGCGGCTGTTGCTGCACTAAAATTCTTCTGGATCATCTTCCCCACGGCATGGTCAAGGCACTCTGGAACATGCTCTGGCTCCACTGAAATCTGCATCTGTCAATTGCATGGCTGCAGTCTAAACCTCGCCACACCAGAAAATCACCAAGAATCCTAAAACAATTCCCAAATGTTTAAAACATATACGTTTAAGATTCTTTCAGGTAACCCTCCGCCCAACTGGCTGCCTTTTCAAGCTCCCGGGGTCCCCTACAATCCCTCTATCTCTAACCTACCCAATTAATATGGCGTGAAATTGTCATGAAGAGATTTAGCCTTTTGGATCCCTCCTCATGAACAGATTTAGTCTTTGGGGCCTCTCCTCATGAAGAGATTTAGTCTCCTCTCCTGATTGACCACACCCAAATAAAAGGGTGAGGGGGATTTATTCATCGGGCGTCGACATCACTTCATAGTTTAGCCAAAAGGGCCAATATTAATGATACTCTTTCCAAAGCCAACACTACCGTAGTCCAAACACTCCATGCCCTCATTTCCTGATTTTATTACTGGAGTTGGTCATACATGGTCATTCAGAACGGACTTGTAGGAGAAACCTACTGTAGCAGTTGACTATGTTGGCACTTGGCACTGTTGGTACCAGAGTCCCTTGGAAGCGACGAACTGCGAGCTGCAGCAACGAAGTGGCCACTTCTCGCGACAGATCTTGGCCACATCGTCGTGGAAGACCTCGACACCTGGCGCGACACCGCTTGAGAGCTTTGGTGGAACATGGAAAGAATTGTCAAAACAAGGCCCCCTGCCACCCCAAAACATGCTTGCTCAATGGGCTTAGAACATGGTGCAAGGTATATTGTCAGATGCAAACTCTCATCGATTTGATCACGTATAGGAAGCCCCGAGTTCGTAGGAACGGGGGAGAACGGCGGATGGGCTAAGCCTGTGAGATCCATTCGCGCCTGCCAGGTTATGCCGATTGCCACCCTCAGGAGCTATGCCGTACTGCACCAAGAGCACCGAATCAGGCGCCTCAGCCAGGGGATAAATATCATACTGAATCTAGTGCTGAATATACCAGATATCAGCATATAGGTTCTATACTGCACCAAAAGCACTGGATCAGTAAAGATATCCTTGGTCCCCCGGGCCAGTCTACATTGAATTTCAAGACCGAATGAAGGAATCTGGTCATATCGAATGTTCTCGATGTTCGCTTTGGGATGACCACCCAAGTCTTTATAGCATGGTGCTGGAACATCCCAATCCCCTACAATATCCGATAACCATTGCTTTAACATATATATTATCTCTCCATGCATGTTTTAGATACATACAAACATTACATTACATTACATAACATTACATACCATACATACCATACATACCATACATAACATACATCACATACATCACATACATCACATACATCACATACATCACCTACATAACGTACATAACATACATAACATACATTACATACATTACATACATTACATTACATTCATACATACATACATACATACATACATTAAGCATACATACATACATACATACATACATACAAACATACATACATGCATACATACCATAACATAACATAACATAACATAACATTACATTACATTACATTACATACATGCATACATACATACATTACATACATACATACATACATACAAACATACATACATGCATACATACATACATACCATAACATAACATAACATAACATTACATTACATCACATACATCACCTACATAACGTACATAACATACATTACATACATTACATACATACATGCATACATACAAACATACATACATACATACATACCATAACATAACAAAACAAAACATAACATACCATAACATAACATACATACATAACATAACATAACATACCATACATACATTCATTACATACATACATACATACATACATACATACATACATACATACATACATACATACATACATACATACATACTTACTTACTTTCTTACTTACTTACTTACTTACATTACATTACATTACATTACATTACATTACATGCATTACATACATACATACATACATACATACATACATACATACCATACCATACCATACCATACCATACCATACCATACCATACCATACAATTACATTATTACATTACATTACATTACATAATTACATACATACATACATACACTACACTACACTACACTACACTACACTTCACTACACTACACGACACGACACGACACGACACTACATTACATTACATTACATTATTACATCCATACATACATACATACATACATACATAAATTACATTACATTACATTACATTACATTACATACATGTTAAAATACATGAATCAAAGTATTACTACGGACTTGACACAAATTGCAAGCCATCCTCATATCTCCATGCCAATTCTCTCAATCCTCCACACCCACAAGTCTGTCTGACTTGGCCAAACGGCCGCGACGTACCGAAAGGTCAGCTCTTCGCCTTGGTAAATGGAGCGCTCCGCCACCATGGCCACCATGCCAGGCCACCTCATGCCAGACCACGACCGATTCATCCAAGCGGGTCCCAGCTTAAAGAGGCTTCGACCCAACGAACGTGATTGAACGTCCGCACCCGAACTAGAGGCGAACAAGTGACTGATGTGACCCAAACCATCCGGGAACTCAAAGGGTCACTAAGTGAAGAGGTCTTACCCATCCCACAAGGGGATTCGTTCGCGGATGGGAAGGCGAGTGGTCTTACAATCCATGCCTGGGGGGGGCTCTTGTCTTCAAAACCACTCTCCCCGCCTCTCTTGGAAGGTGCACGGTACTCGCGTCGACACGGCAGTAGCGGTCGAAGCGTCGTCACGGTGGTGGTTGAAGAAATCGATGAAGGGCAGCAATCCAAGGGCCGAGCCCTGGCGAAACGTGGGGGGCTTTGCAAAGCTGAAACGTCGCTCGTCGACATGGCATGTGCGGACCCTCTGTGGCGTGTCTAACATGAGACATGGGGACATGACCCCATTTAAAGGAAACATAAAACACACACTTCGAGAGATGAGACATGACCCCATTCAAAAAAATAAAAATAAAAAACCAGTACAAGGACCTTCAAAGTGACCTCTTTGGAGTCTCTAAGTGAAATCTTTAGGGACTAAGTGACTTCATTCTAGGATCTCAAGGACGGTCACTTTGAAGGTCCTGGTACTTGTGTGTGTTGTATGTACCTATTGTCGGAAGTACTTCGAGACTCCAGGCAACAAGCCTCATGGCAGTTCTAAGCATCTAGAAACCCATGCAAAACCCCGGTTTATACCATGTAGCCTCAAAACCGGGAAAGCACAAGTGGATGACAACGGATGAGGAAAGCTTAAAACGTGGCTGAATTGCCCAACTGGGTGTTCAATTTTGGAACTCGTGCTCCAACACTCATCCTTTAATTATCAATCTGCACAAGTACCATGGGTCCAAGACTCCTACCAGCTCTGCACCAGCTGAGGCGGTTGCACTTGGTTGCACTTCACAACGTGGCCGGTTAGTGGCACAGGGGTGGATTCAATCCGTGCGTGAAGTTCTGTTCCGGAGAAGTTTCAATTGGGTAATTATGCATTTTTATAGGGAGATGCCCTGCCCCTGGGCCCCTGGCTGGGTAGACTGATCAATTTTCTTTCTTCAGGGGATCGTTGCCTGAGGTGTCTCCCTATTTGAATACACACCCATGTGATATCTCCTTTCAACATCCCGACCGCCGCATCTGACCACCGCACTGGCGGCTTCTCCCGACCGGGGAGGTCCCACCGGAATTGGACCGTTCGAAATCGCCCCTCCCCATCTTCCACAAAAACCATCATAAAGTGTTATAAACTGACCCAGCACCTTCCAACCAATCTCTGCAGGCTGAAATGGGTGACCTGTACAGTCGAAGGTGGTGACCTGCGAAGTCGGGGCCTGGACTGGGTCGGGTCCTGGACCCCCAACCAGCGCCTGCAACGCGAAGTTCCTCGAGAGCACCAGCGAAAGCGCCCCAGACAGTTGCGCCGAGCTGTGCTGCGCGCGTCTCGTGGAGGCGGAGAGGCAGAGGTGGTGGCAGTGCGCTGCCTCCTTGCGGCTGTGAGGCGGAAATCACCAATCATACGTCTTGGAAGACAGTGGAGTGGGAAAAAAACAAGCAAATGATCTAAACCAATTGGACTTGGATTGCATTTGATTACCTTCCAATTTGACTGTGACATCTCTTATATTGAGACCCTGGAGGGTGCTTGGATTCTGGTTTCGAAGGTTGTCTGAACAAAAGGACTAGGCACATGCAGTACACTGCAAGCCAGTGGGGTCCAGTGGGAACGTTAAGCTGCGAGGCACCTCAGTTGCAACTCCAGTGTGTTCTAGGGCTCTGTCGACGAATGGAGAACCAAACAACAGTTTGCTTTGTGTCGCTCGCCGTGACCAAAGAGACACCTTCATGATGTCCAACAACATGTTCGACAGGTTTGAAGTTTGAAGGCGAGCCACTTTTCGATACGTTTCCTTCATTTTGTTGGTCCCTGTTGACACCAAGAATCAATCTCTGCACAACTTACCAGCTCTTGTTCACTTCCAGATTTTGCATGATGCGGCTCTTTCCATCGCATTTCAGTCAAAGCTGTAAGATGGCTGCAAGACGACCCAGTTCTTGCTGGTTCAATTCAACAGCACAGTGGCACGCCATTCTCCGGCGGATGGCCAGCTTGCTGAACAAAAATTCAAGACGGCGGAGGGAGAGGATTTTCAGGATGTTCACCTCGCTCGGCCCTGCTAAAGGCACACAATGTTGCTTTTTTTTGCAGGAAAACCGACCCTCCTGCAATAGACCACATGGACCTCCGAAACCACTGGGTTGGTATTCCGAAACTTGTCTTAACCATTGGGTGAATTGTCAGGCCTAGGGCAGGGGTTGTACCACTGCGGGGTTGTACCGTCTCAATCACACAAACTGCTCTTCGGCCCCCGTCAATCCCCAAAGAGATCGGACCGAGTCAGTATTGTTCATGTTCATGTGATTTGCGGGCTAATACATCCAGCCAAGAACGGACATCTAAATCAACCCTGTGCTTATCCGGGTTGGTTTGCTACATAAGTTGGGAAAATGCTCTTCTCTCCGGATGCTGGTAGCCTTTGCGGGCCAGCATTCAACAACTTAAGGCAACAAAAGAATCTCTCCACCTCTCCCCGCGCAAACCCACCGAAACCACGAGGTCGGATGACCAAAAACTGGTGCGCCAGGATGCAACCTTTGGGCACTCCAGAGCTGTGGTTAAGCCACTTCCTTCACTTCCCCCACACATTAACTTCATCAAATGTTGGAATGCAGTTCTGCAATGTTCCGCATGGTTCTGTTGTCTTCATGAACCAATCATGACCCAGTTCTACCACGGCCCCAGTTCGATCTGCTGCCGGTGCGGCTGTACAACGGGTGCGATCGGATGAGGTGTCACAAGGCCCCCGTGGGCCTGAGAGCTTTACATCCGGAGCTTTACAACTTTACATGAGAATGGGGTGAATGGGTGTGTGTTCGTAGGAACCCACACCCTGGGACCCTGGGACGATTTTCTACCCGAACAGGGGGGTCTCCATATTTTGTTTGACACGCCAACGGATGAGACCGCTGCGAGTCATGCAGCAGCTGTTGTACCGATGACTCCTGGCGACGGCGAGTCTCATGCGGTTGGGGCATTGAGCAAGGGCACAAAATAACACCAAGAAAGACCGGTGGGGGAGGGTCTCGAGCAGCGTCCTTGGAAGTGATTGATGCAGAGTCCCGTGAAACGAACAAAGCAATCTCGATCCTCTGTTCTGGGTCACCTAAAGACTACTACCCTAAGCCCTACAACTACTACCAGACTGGACCTCCAGTGGACACCCATGGGATGATCCTGGCTTTTTGACCACACTCAGGAACCAATTGTTGGACCATGTCCGTCATTTGGAGGATTCCGACCGGTTTTCTGGTGTTGCGACGCACCGCCACACAGTTGAAATCCGACCAGGTGGGTGCACTGCACCAAGAAGGATCAGAAGGATCCAACCGAACTCTGACCTCAGTCCTTTTCAGACTCAACTTCGACCTGGCCTTGGCACCCGAACCCCCCCCGGGGTCCCACAGTTCAACAAAGCTTGGATATGAGGAACCTGGAACACGACAAATGGTGTGTGTACCATTATACCCCCATGCAATATGGGAGAACAACAAACTCACATGTTTCAGCAAACTCAGGATAGAGCAACAACTAGAAAACGATCTTCGTCTCAGCCCACGGCTCTCGCCCACGGCGACGCTCCGCTCCGCCCCACGGACCCGCTCGTCTCCACCAGGCGTCGGGGCAGCTCCGTCGATCTCCGCGCGCGGGGACCCGCCGTGGGGAGCTCGGTCGCCTCGACCTCGACCTATGGGCGGAGAGGCGGAGAGCCGACAAAAGACATCCGAAGTCCGGCACCCAGGTCCGGCACCCAGGTCAAAACCTATAGTCCTCCAAAAAACCGCACATTGAGTTAAGTTGTTTTAAGTGTTGTTTTATGTTGTTTCTTTTTCTAGATATGATGAGCTGTAGTGAAAGACATGAGTTTAAGCTGACCTTTGGAATGGTGTTCCTGGTTTCTTCGAAAAATCAGAAAAGGAGTCCGTCCTCCAAACCCTGGCCCAGGCCACCTAAACCCTCAACGCCACGTCAAACGATCAAGTCTCGGGGATGACCTGAACATACCTGAACCAAGGGAAAACATCCATCAACTCACTGACTCCCTGACCATTCATCGCAGGGGACGGACCCGAACCAAATGCTTTGATTACGCTTTTCAATTGGCTCAGGCCGGAATTTGAAGGGCTGAACAACAAACAAATCAGTTCCTTTTCACATTGTGTAATGAACACAACTACCAACAACCATTCCACAAGCCCCCGGTCTGAAACATGTCAACAAGGCCCAAGGCCCAAGCAAACCACAACGCACCACAACCAACCTGAGTGACCTTCTTGTTGGACCACCAACCGCCCCAGTCAAAAGTTACAAAGCTTTGTTGCAAAAAGATCTAAGAACCTAAAACTACAACCAAACTACTAGAGCTGATGGTCCTTTTCTAAGCTCTAAGTGGCCCCGTTCAACATCCACACGGCACAGGGGCCCCACACCTGCCCAAACCAAAAGGTCAGCGGTAGGGGGTAAATCCATCCCACAAAGACTGAGGCCAAGCATACTTTCCAACAAACGCAAACGTTTCCACGAGCGCCGTCGAGCAGGGGCCCCAAATAGGTCGACCCCCCAACGTTCGCCTCTTCCACCACCTCGGCGAACTCGGAGGCCGCAAAGGAGGCGAGGCTGCTCTCGCGGCTCTCACGCCGTGCGGAGGGAGTGGCCTGGTGCCAATGCGGCAGTTGCAGCGCTTAGCCGCAGTGAACCAAAAGCATACTGGTCAAGTCGGGTCATTCCCAACTCAAGAAGTTCCAGAAGAAGATCTGCATGGGAGACAAGCGGAGACAAAGCAAAATCGACCCAGCCGAGCATCAAGAAGAGCCATGGGAGACAAAGAGGAAAAAAGGAGACGAAGGAAAACAAAGCATCCAAGAAGAGCTACAAGTATAGGAGACAAAGGGAAACAAAAAGACAAAACGCCAGAAATCCTCTTGGCCCAGGATCGACGAATTGAGAACCCTCACAGCACCCTGTGCCTCAAGGGCTTTCGCTGGCAAGCGGGTGAGCGCCATCGTGACGACCGCGCAGAACATCAGGACGGCGCCGATCACCGTCAGCGTCCTGAGCGAAAACCGATGGAAGCGCCGCTGGGAGGCGATTGGCTCTACACTGAGATGCTGATGGCTCATCTCAGGAATCGTTTGGTAGTTGGTTGGGTCCATGGTTTGGGCATGTTTGGGCATTGCCGGATTTGCTTACCTCTTGACTACCATCATCAGTCTGGGTGTCCTATCATCTCTGAAGATCCAGCCAGCCACGGATCTCAGCATGGTCCAGGCCTATCAGGCCGGTGTGGAGACCGGTCGGCGGAAAAAGCCATTCATCGGTCGGATCTGGTGATCTCCCGTCTGGCCCGAGCGATTGCGACCGGCGTCCGCGGTGCGTCCTTCGCGTCGCGAGGCGTCTGTTGAGGCCATTGGTGCGTCCTCAATAGGTTTCTGTAAGCGTGCAAACATATGATAGCAATGTCCCACATTGCAAAGAGAGACACTGTGATTGAGCATTGAGGATCTTATCTATTTGAGAAACCAAACACGACTCATATATACAGTTTGGTATGCTCCTCATTGCATTTGCCAAGAATCTCAACCAATCTCATCACCTCTCCCCTCTGCCCCCCCACATCGTGAGCCTGGCTCCCCCTCTGCCTCGCCTGCCCTATCAAAAGAGACCACTTAGTGACCGACCTTGCAACCGACCTTCCTTTTTAGGTAGGGATGCCCGTCCGAACAAGTCCAAAGGAGTGACCACCCCCAGTGTGCGGATGTGGAGCTGCTTGAAGAATTCTTAGACGTTTCTTGGCAACATCCTGAACAACACATGGAAGTGGAGAGGGCAGAGGCCCTGTCTTGGTATCTGGCCAATTGTCCAAGGGTCTTGCCATCCACTTCCACCATGCTTGTTGGATAGAGGCGGTACTATTCACAAATTGGAACATGAGGAAGCAGCCTTTTGCAAGACTGCTTAGTGCTTCATTCCTTTCCTGTAGTTTCTGCGGCGATCGTTGGACTCATTTCGGAGAGCGACAGTTCTGCTATGTGCATTCCAGTGTCTTTGGCACTGAACGAAAAAATGATGATGTCCAGCAAATACCTTAGGAACGGGAAATCCTTGCACAAACCGATCATGGAACTGCAAAACTGCAAAACACTTTGAAAAAGGACATGCATCTCTGGGGGGGGCAATGTTCAAAGTTCAAAGCTGTCTTAGTCTGAGATGAGCAATGCCCCCATACGGAACGAGCGCAACAAGCACTCATCAAGAACGCGCAGGAAACCGAAGGAGTGTGGATGAACATCATTTGTTTTGTTAAAGGGCCATGCAAATACCTTAAAGTGACAAACTGTTGTGATCAAACAAGACGGGAGACACTTCAAG